TTCGGTGGTAGAGCGCTTTTGTCCCCGGTGGTAATCTGCTCGCTCTCAATGCCCCAAACCGTGGTATATTGTTTCAAAACAAGGCTGGATTATCTCCACTTTTGAGAGTGAAAAAATGTCGGTAATTCCCAGTAGCCTGGTCTTTTGTTCCGAGTACAGTCTTTTGTTACAAGGCCCTGTTCCCTTTGTCCGAGTTTGGAGACCCCGGCCATGCATATAAAGCATACATGTCCGGATCCGGAATCCCCGGCAGGGAGTGGTTAATGTCATTATATCTGAAATATGAAAAAAATGTACATGTACTGTCTTACCTCAAAGCTGTGAAACCAAATGAGTTGACCCAAATGTATCTGTTTGTTCTTTCCAAAGCATAGCTGGTCAGTGTAGGTGTGGTTTTTATTAATATAATCAAGTATTGTATTTTGACCCGCTTTTATCTCAGTGATACATGTACGGTAATTTATACATGCGCATGTACATGTACATCTCTGAAATCCCTCTGATTACCCATAATTCCTCATTTTTGAAGGAAGGAGAGTTGTTTTTTAGGTTTTCTAGGCACTTTGTTTCTTAACAATCCTGGCTCTGGAGCATTAATATTATTCCCTCCAGCAGCCAAAATCCCAAACAAGGGTACTTCACTTGTAGCACTTAACATATAAGGAACCAGTAGACAACCTTGCCTTGCATTTCATCAGAGTTTTTATGAGTGTAAATTTCCACAAAGTCATAGTTGAAATGTGTCAGAGCTTATGAGATAACCGCAGATCAGGTGCTGCATGTACATGTATTTAGGATCCCCATTATATGTGTACAAACATGTCCTGTTTCCTCTTTATGGGAAAAAGTTTGACATCTGAAAGTGAAGCATTGTTTTTCCATGTCTGCCTGTGCATGGTGCTTGTTCAGCTACAAGTGTTCACATACATGTATGTACATGTAGAAAACTGCTTGTGTTGTACTGTATGCCAGGGTAGCAGACTCGTGCATTGAACATGAAACTAGCATTGAAGAGGTTTACTAATCACAAGCCCCTTGTGACAAGGGATTTCTCAGGCCCAAAAAAGAGAAAAGCTGTAACGATACTGAAAACACATAATTTTCAAAGCTTCTGTGCCATGGCTTTACTAGGTAGAAGGTAGGCCTACTGGACACCTTTCCCAGTCGGTCATTTTTGGTACAAGAGTAATTTGACTGGACTGCAGTGGTCATTTTATACATGTTGTGTCTGTACAGGGTCTGCTCTTTTGACATTACTGTCATGTTTTCCTACTGTCGTGTTTTCCTTTACTGTCATGTTTTCCTACTGTCATGTCTTCCTACTGTCATGTTTTCCTACTGTCATGTTTTCCTACTGTCGTGTTTTCCTTTATACTTCATAAAGTGTTCAAAATTCCACGCAAATGTCACAACTCCCGATAATAATACAAATACATGTGTACTACTAAATACAAAATGAAAATACAACCCTATTTGAAATCAACAGGACAATTGTCCATTTTGAATGAACTGGAGGTAAAATCGAAAACCAACCAAAAGGTGGTATTTCTGCCAACTTTGGCTGCCCACACAAGTTGTAGGCAAAATGAGACTGGTGTGTGGAAAACACAGTGAATCCTCATTAATAAGAGCACTGTTCATACAACCTTCTGCTTATAACAAGGAACCTCTAGGTCCCAATCCTAGGTTTGTCATTGTTTTTATTCCTGATGACACAACGTTCCTGTACAGGTACATGTCATCTGCAGTCGGGACTTCTTTGAGGTCCGGCTGTATTGTCATCATAGAAACCCACTCCCAAGACTAGTGGCTGTGACTTTCTTATTCGTAAATTAAGCTCAGTTTTGCCAACCCTTTGTATGCAGCCACTTATTAGCAAGCACATCAAAGTTTCTACTTGTCCATTGGAAACTGCTCATGTGGAAACCAAGTTTTTTTGGTGGTATGTTTGAATGGAAGGTTTGGGATAGACAATTACTCGGGCACACATACTTTTAAATAAGGGAATTATGTTGATAAACTTTTGATAAACTCTTTTAACATTTAATACAGTTGTCAGTGTGACTCGCGTACGTACATGTACTTGTATGCGTAAGCCTTTATGAAACCATTGACCTTTAACCTTTAAAGTAGCAGTGTGTCTTTTTATACCTTCTTCTTGCAAGTGGTCCGAGTTGGTGCCGAGTCCATCCTATAAAGGGAATTGTTTTTTACTCCTGAAAGCTAACATTTGTATAGAGGTGTATTTTGTGAGAGTGCACATGTGCAGTATTTTATTTGCTTATGAATGCATAATACATGTAGCAATGCAGTTGCAGAATTTTATGCGCAAGAAAATCAGCTTCTGTTTCTTTGCAGAAAAATGAAATTTTACAGAGAATATCAGATTATTTTGAGCTTTTAAATGTACATAGATTGGACATTTGAGTAGAGTATATTGAACTGAGCTAGTTTTGCTGCATGTTGTGAAGTCACATTTGTTATAGAACTCAGTAGTTACATGTAGCTTCGTGGCTTGTATGGGTCCACTGTACATTAACCCCCTTCTCGATGGGAATTTCTTTCTGAAAGCCGACTCCAAGAATTCCAGCCTTGCTTGGCCACGAAGGCCACCTGCCAAACCGCAAATTCTCGGTTTGTGGCCCAGCGTGCTCTGCATGCTTTGAATTACACAATGAAAAGGCTGATCCTTCGGTGGCATGCGGCTCTACTCAAGCTTCCACATTCCTGTTGCCTCTTTTCTAAGTGGGGACTATTGTGAAGCTGGTGATTATGATGCAAATTCGGTCTTTTCATTTCTGGGCTACACACAAAGACAATTACCATATACACAAGAGCCAGGGCCTGCCTTCTTTCACCGTGTTCGCTCGAGCGTGGGCCGAGAATAATAGCTGAAAAGCAGGCCGAGGATCTCAAGGGGTTAAGGAAGAAATTGCCGCAAAAGATAACATGGAAATTAATCTGTTTTCACCCCCAAAAAAGACAATATCCATCTACAGTGGAATAGATATACATGTAGTTGTATATGTAGCTTACCGTGTAAGAAATATGATGTACAGTGTATGTACAGTATACATGTGGTAAATGCATTTGGCTGGATCAGAGTGCTGTGGCAAGTAGGAGTCTGTAATTTGAGAATGTGGACCTTTGATTAACACCTTGGTGAAGTTTGGTGTGCTTGAAGAATGTTCCAGCTATTTAGAATGGACTGCAGTGGAATTACTGCAGGTGTAAAGGAAATCATGGAACCTTGAAGAGGTAATGTAGAGTACACATGTGGCATATCACACCAGTCAACAAACGTCAAGTTTTGCTGACAAGTCCAAATGGAGAGGCTACAACTTCTTACTGTGGTGTGTTAACCCTTGGACACTTTGCTAGGTCCTCCTCAGTCCTTCAAAATCCTTCAATTATCCATGGAAAAAATTGCAGTCATCGTCAATCCTCTAAGATTTTTGAATATCCTCCTTTGAGGGGTGCCTGCCACAGCCTCAATACTTCAAAACCCTCCAGCAATTCCCGTCTTTGTGCTGAAGCAGTGTGTATAATCTAGATATGAATTCATGCCTGGCTGAGCACAGACAACACAAGGTCCAACGCACAGCCTTGATACAGTGCATCCTTCTAAATCAGCCACGCTTTCATACCATTCTTCCTCAGTCGTTCGAAATCACTCGGAGGATTTTGGAGGCTTGAGGTGGGTTAGGGTTAATGGCAGAAATAAAAGCCTTAGCCACAAGGCACTACACAGACACAGTCTTATTGTGATTGAAGTGAATTGGACCATATGATGGTATTGTGAACTGTCTGCCAAACGTGGGTGATGCCCTACATTTAAATCTGTATGTGGTGTGTGTCCATCTGCGTGGTGCACATGTACTGGTTTTGAAATACATGTAGACTGCCACAAGAGACCATCATCCAGTAACCAGACTCACAAGTTAGAGGGTGAACATTGACAAAGGAAGGCATTAGTTACAGTTTACATGAACAGCTTGTGACTTCAATGGAGACTGGAGGTTTTATGTTGGTCTTAGATGCGATAAGATCGCAGTTACAGCATTTATGTGTAAATGTATTTTATTTCCCATGTAGTGTCAGACAGTAATGTAAAAGCCAGTAAATGGTCACCTTCATGTGACCATTACAGATCAATGAAGTTTCCAATTTAGAATCGATGTGTCAGTAAATTTGATTTCCCCGAGGGTGACTTGTCTAACCCTTATTATTTGGGCTGGATTCAAGGTTAAGCCCTTTGGAACATCACAATTATACTTGAGCTATGATAGATGGGAGAAGAGTGTTGACATATCTGTTTATTGGTCTTGAGTTGGTTCACCAACCTGTCCAAATATCTGCATGCACTGTACGGATTGTAGCAATGTGAAAAATAGTCTTTTTGAATGATTGCTCTAACCAAAAATGTACCGGTAGATTGAAAATATTTCAAATTACTAGAAACCTTTAAATGAAGTATGTTAAATTTAGGCAGTCTTGAGTATTTGAATACGAGTTCATAACAGAAGTTGTAGGCATCGTAGGAAAACTGCCTAAAGAAAGTGAAATAGAGGAAATAATAAATAAAAATACAACCATTGTATGAATTGGCTGACAACAGTTAAGGAATTAGATACAAACTTGAGATGTGTATTAAAATACTGATGATGAAAGTGATCCACAACAAGTGAAAAATCTTATGTCAGACTTGTCGTTCAGATGTCCATTTCTGACAATCAAAAATTCATTACAAAAGCACGTATTAGAGCAAAAGCATATACTTGTTTTAAGATATTTACAAGTGCTTATTTATTCAGATTTCTTTTCACAATTCCCAGACAAAACCTCACACCTGTTTTACTCTCTCAGCAGCAGTTGCAACACAGAGTTGTGAAAATTTCAGTTGCAAGAATAATAGCGGACAACTAAATAGGAACTACAATAAATGAATGTCACAATCACACACAACATGGCTTGCAAATGTACACATTAAACATTAGAACTGATTTGTGGTTTATTGTGTGCCAAAATCACACAACCAAGATGGGCAAAAGACCTTTTAATGTGCCTCTACAAGGTAACCAAACCAAACTGGTATTGTGTATGTTGGCAGGATAGAAAATTAATAATAATACAAGTACATTTTGAAATAACACCACAAAGTTGCTTGACTCAAATGGTGGAAAACTGAGCTACGGGGGAGGGGGGTTATTTTCAAAATAAACTTGTTCGAAAGAAAATGAAAGTTCAATCAACATGAATGTCCCAACAAGAATTAACTACAAATGGGACACACTCGGGTTACACCCACAACATGACAGTCGAGCTCACAGCAAAGTAAGAATAGTTTAAATCAAAGAAATAGGCCTTGGAATAATACACGATTCTGTGGGCTGCCTTTAACCACTCGCTCCAGTGTGTTCTCGGTTACTTCAACAATTCCACTTATTGCCAGCGTTGAAGAAATATGACAAAGTCAGAGGTTTTGTATCACAACATTTTCATTTTTAGAGTAAGCAAAGGGGGAGAAACTTCATGTCTTGGAGGCTCAATTCTTGCTCTGTAAAGAGGTGGTGACTGGTGTTCCGTGATGGCATGTCGAGGATAAGACTACGAGATGCCATTTTTCCGTCTCACAAGTCAAGTTGGCACATGTTTGGAAGTTACAAATTGAGGCATGTGAGGGTGATATAACAGAAAACTAAATGTACTTCAAGTTATCATCTACACCCAAGATGTTGACTGAATTTAGACTGCATTTCTCCCTCGGGGAAACATTTTATGAAAACTTGTACGCTTGGTCGATGAAACTTGAGAGAAACTCAAGTAAAACTGCTGCACTTGAAGATAAAAACCCTGACACGAAAATACATCACACAGTGGATTCAAGACATCCACTGCAAAATCTTTTACATGGGTATAAATCTGAAGTCCTGCATCCCGCATCAATACAAAATGCCCATGTTCAGACAAACAGTAAGCAAAATGCAGGAATCTTGGTCATCCAGCCAATGCAGTCACTACAGGACTAGAGCCTTGACACATTGTACACAGCAGGCATGGGCATCTCTTTTTTTCATCTCAGTCTCAGTGTCAACAGCCAAATCCTAAACCTTAACCACCACTCAAGGTGTGGTCTTGTAACTTTTAAGCACCACATCTGAATGCCCCCGTGTCTGTTAAGTATGTACAAATCTGAGCCTTTAAAAAGAAAAAGTTGAAGCCGGGGGTTTCTAGGACTGGCTCAATTTAGCAAGAGGGCCAACTAAGTTAGAGGGTCTGGAACCTACGACGACTTGTTTGATTGTCATTTAACCAGACCATGCTTCTTGGCTTCTACCTCATAGATCAATAACCTCCACATCTTGACCACAAATACCTCTGCCTCCTCGTCAAGAACCTGCAAAGATGAACAGAAGAAATGTAGTAAAGACCATTAACCACTTGTCGCTGGGGTTTCTGGTACTGGACACATATTCTTTATACGCGTGGCCGGGCTGAAATACTCCCAATAGATATTGTCTGTCAGAGTAGAGTAGAAACCAGACAGTCGTTTGTGTGGGTGTAAGTGTCCAGTAAATGAAGACAGAAGTTATAAATAATTTTGAAAACAGAAAAAAAATGATAATTATCCCACCCCAGCATCATTAACATTGATTACTGCCACCGGCATGAAGCGCTTAAGCAGACATCAAACTGGCAAAGGCATCAAAAGTTCAAATTCCAACTTACACAGCACTTTTTACGGCTTATTTCAATTACAAAATACCTTATTAAGTTGCAAATAAACTATTCTTGAACAGCAACAGGCAAAGTTTTGAGAGATTTACTGAGCTCACCAGTATCATTTGGAAAAATTAACTTGATCTCACAAAATGAGGATTATGTACCTTCCCACTCATCCCCTTTGCATACGCAATAGACACTTTTTGAAAGACTTGTATGCCGTATTGCTGTTCACTTCCTGCATACCCATTTAGCATGTCTGTGTAGGGTATATAAACTTAATATATTCAATGCACGTGATGGAAAAAACACTCTTTGAATCATACAGGCAGAAGAGCTGAAAACGTGGGGTGTCATATTAACATTTGCAAACAAAGATGGAATCTTTTTTTACGCTTCTACATTTGCAAGAAATGGGTGTGCGGTAAAAAAAAAAGAAAGAAATCTCGTGCAAAATGGAGAACCAAATGAGCATTACCATGGTGATATCACTCAGTATGCTCTCAGCTGAGCTGTGAGCCAGGAGCTTGGAGCAGATAAACTCAGTCAAGGTGGCCTCCTCCTCACCGATGTACTCAACGATTTTCTTGTTGATCCAGGGCTTGATTCGCCTCTCCATCAAAGACTAGCAGCAAAAAAAAACGGGGGAGGAGATTGGCATGAAAACAGGGCTACTCAAATCTTTCGTTAATTACCAGGGTATTAAAGGAACAGCACCTTCCATTGGTCAGCAATTCTTAGTACCTTAACAGTCTACTGGTATCCATAAGTTACTGTTACTTTTTTCTGGCTCCAAATACCTCCTTGTATTGTAGATTTTCCAGATTTGTAGGCTTATCTCATTGTCTGCTGAGAGGAAGCTCTGAATGTCATTCTTTGAAACAAGTTCTGCTTCTGTGCCTTGGGTTGACTCATGACCAGTTCTGTGTCCATTTAGGTTTTTTCAGAGAGACTCTACAAGAAGTGACGTACCTGGCCCATATAAAGTACGCGAATAATGTAAATCGATGGCAAAAGGTAGGCCAATAGTGGGTGGCATCATCCACTCCATGAATGGGTACCCCTTAGCCTACTACCAATGCCAAGGCCGTACACTCAATCCAAATTTGGTCAGAGTAGCACTGTAGGGTGCCGACCTCCAAACACACATCATCTTTTGTTTAGGGAGCTGGTTGTCAAGTCCGCGTCCGTAGCTTGTCAAACTGCACAAGTCACAGCCTTTCAAATGAGCTGTGACAATGGCCTCCTTTGTCACTGATCATCCTGTCACTTGTAGCCTGACAAGTCACTTGACATGTGATGGACTTGACTAAAAACTCCATCAAAGGCAGACTTGGCATCTGAGCCCAATAATTTGGGACCTACCTCGTCCACGATGGCCCAGTCTACTTTGTATCTGAAGAGCTCCTCTTTAGCGGTGGGAATCTTCTCAATCAGGTTCTTGATGGTCTTTCTCTTCTCCTCGGCAGCTGTAGCCACGGCCTGAGACTGGCCCCCTCCGACGGCCTTCATCTCCTCCTCCGAGTAGTCGATGGGGACCAGCTTGCGTTTCTTCTTGACGGTGTCTGTTGTGTCCTCGTCCTGGTTGAAAGCCTCCACCACTGACAGCTTCTTACGTTTGGCGACAGCAGAAGACTGGGGGTCATTCGCTCCCACTGGGGAAAAAACAAATCCAGTTGGCGACTTTTAAAAATTTAAAACTCAAAAAAGGGCTTGTTGAATCTGCAACAAAAAAAGATTCACCAAATATGATCAATTTCAGCAGAATTTCACCATGTAACATATGAAACGATGCTGTGGCATGGAATCTTTACAACCTCCAGATGTCTCTGATATCTGCATGACCTAAAATAAACCAGCTCTGGTACAGTTGCATTTCTTGGACCCTGTGATTTTCTGGACCAACTTAGAGCTGGCTTATCTTCTTGAAACTTGGCATGCATGTGAAAACATTCCTCACGACATTCATCCAACAGTATGTTTTTGATTATCGTCATTAATAGTTCAAGGCCTCACACACTGGCCTGCACGCACTGAGCACAGGAACATTTTGGCTGACCTTTCTCTGACAGTAGAATTAGCCTTTCAAAGGACCGTGTTGTCAAACTACCAAACCCCAGCTTACCAAGTTTTAGGCCTCCAAAACTGAGCCTCGGTTTGTGTGGCTCCTTGATTCGTTGGTCACTCTCCTCCTCGGCCGAATGGGCAGACAATGGCTCAGGACTTGCTTCCAAGGACTCTGGAGTTCGAGGGCCTGGTGCTGCAGGCAGGGCCTAGGGCATTCAAAGACACACTTACTCACTGAGTATTCCAAAACTCATCGACCAAAATACATAACATCTCTCTGTAAATTACCTTGTTACTCTTTTAGCATAATTAAAGCTCTGAGAACATGTTCCACTCATTCACCACTCAGTGCTCACTCGAGACCAATTTTGAAACAAACGACTCATTTTTAACCCAACCATACTTCTGGCTCACACATTCACCCTAGGATTTCACTTGCCCAACACTTAACATGAAGCATAACATTTGAAACTTTGAAACTTCCAAAGTACCTGTGCTCTATTGAGACAGGAACCTTTTGACATTATTACTTTTTCACTGAATAAAAAACTGTAAAATGTAAAAGATTCTTTGGTCCTTCAACTTTGTGACTGATTTCTAAAGCAGGGAGCCAGGAATGTTTGACTGAAGCTCAACCAGGGAGATTCTCCTTTTAGTACGAGCCAGAGGTATGTTGTATGTAGCGCTAATCAACCAAGGGTCCTTGGTGGAGCTTGTTCATTGGCTAAAATTTACTGTGCAGCGGGGCTGAGACAATAGAGGTTATGTGTTAACGCTTCCTCAGAGGGCAAGATTTTTGTTTCACTGGGATAGGCTTGAGTAAACCTTTTGTGCATTCGTTGTACCTACACGTAAATTAAACTAGCAAAACAGTCCCTAAGACACTATGGAGACCCCAGCAACACAAAACGTCTATTCAGTTACTCCAGTCTTCAAATATCTAACCTTCTTCTTGATCAAACAAGAACTTATCAGGTAACATGTACTGCCGCGCATGATTTCAAAGTGGTGTTCCCATTCGTCAAGTGTTGTACACATGCGCACATATTTAATAGGTACCTTTCAGGTGTCTATTTGAACATGTGCATTTTACAGATGTACACCCTCCACACTACAAGCAGCGTATATATTGTGTTCTTCAATGATGCCAGTGTATTCAATTTACATTACAATAACCTTTCATTTCCTATGAGTACACTCATGGCAGAACCCTGTACACCTGTGACTACAAGTAAACTCGTAGTTGGCAGTCAACGTGTTAAATACCAAATTATCCATATTCCCAGATATTACCGAAACTTCTGAAAATAGCAATTGCAGACTGGAAAACAAATACAAACAGCAGTTATGTTAAAAAGTGTTTCTGATGGGATAAATGTTGATAATTATGAAGCACTTTGTGAGGAAGTATTAAAGTACTTGTTTTAAGTCGTGTCGTAAAAACTGGGTGAATATGTAATTTGGAGCAAAAGTAATATGCTGGCCTCACTGTTGGACCGATCAATCAGTTGTCTTTAAGTTTCTGCATGAAATAAATTTTGAGAAAGCAGCTTTTTATAATTTATGTTTTTTTTATTTTGCCAAGTTTGTTTCAGTACAGTTTAGTTCCGAATATTCGACAAACTGAATATTTTAGCACATGATGTTTGTCAAATACTCAAATATTTGAATATCCTGCTCTAATGCTTAGATGAGAGATGTCTTCAACTCACAGCCATTTCTGGGTTTGGTTCTTCTGGAACGTCAAGTGGCTTCATCGTGGGCTCAAGTTTAGGTTTCTCCTCCTTAGGCACAAGAGCTAGCTGGGGTAACCGATGCTTCTCACGTTCTTGCTCAAGCTGAAACACAAACATTAGTCATTCATCTCAAAACAAGTCATCAAACAATGGACTATAACTTGGATAACGTTAGTCCCTACTTAAATGGTTGGTGTCTTCTACAGCTAATCTACGGTCGAGTTCGGCGGTCAAATCTGGGTTTCTTGTTCTCACGCTCGAACGGCAGGAACACGACTCAAGAACACTGTTCTTGGAACAAGATCACACACTACCTCCTCGTCAGGGTTTTACAGGAACACACGGAAAAACTTGTGAGATTTTGATTTTTGAATAGCAGCAAAAAGTAGAGAGATGGCTTCCAAAGCCAGCAACAATGGGCAGTTTTGCAAAATTAACATCAATAATTTTTAATAACAAGGAAATGAATGTTAATTANCCTTATGTGTTAACGCTTCCTCAGAGGGCAAGATTTTTGTTTCACTGGGATAGGCTCGAGTAAACCTTTTGTGCATTCGTTGTAACTACACGTAAATTAAACTAACAAAACAGTCCCTAAGACACCATGGAGACCCCAGCAACACACAACGTCTATTCAGCTACTCCAGTCTTCAAATATCTAACCTTCTTCTTGATCAAACAAGAACTTATCAGGTAACATGTACTGCCGCGCATGATTTCAAAGTGGTGTTCCCATTCGTCAAGTGTTGTACACATGCGCACATATTTAATAAGTACCTTTCAGGTGTCTATTTGAACATGTGCATTTTACAGATGTACACTCTCCACACTACAATATTGTGTTCTTCCATGATGCCAATGTATTCAATTTACATTAAATTAACCTTTCATTTCCTATGAGTACACTCATGGCAGAACCCTGTACACCTGTGACTACAAGTATACTCGTAGTTGGCAGTCAACATGTTAAATACAAAATTATCCATATTCCCAGATATTACCGAAACTTCTGAAAATAGCAATTGCAGACAGGAAAACAAATACAAACAGCAGTTATGTTAAAAAGTGTTTCTGATGGGATAAATGTTGAAAATTACGAAGCACTTTGTGAGGAAGTATTAAAGTACTTGTTTAAAGTCGTGTCGTAAAAACTGGGTGAATATGTAATTTGGAGCAAAAGTAATATGCTGGCCTCACTGTTGGACCGATCAATCAGTTGTCTTTAAGTTTCTGCATGAAATAAAGTTTGAGAAAGCAGCTTTTTAATAATTTATGTTTTTTTTATTTTGCCAAGTTTGTTTCAGTACAGTTTAGTTCCGAATATTCGACAAACTGAATATTTTAGCACATGATGTTTGTCAAATACTCAAATATTTGAATATCCTGCTCTAATGCTTAGATGAGAGATGTCTTCAACTCACAGCCATTTCTGGGTTTGGTTCTTCTGGAACGTCAAGTGGCTTCATCGTGGGCTCAAGTTTAGGTTTCTCCTCCTTAGGCACAAGAGCTAGCTGGGGTAACCGATGCTTCTCACGTTCTTGCTCAAGCTGAAACACAAACATTAGTCATTCATCTCAAAACAAGTCATCATACAATGGACTATAACTTGGATAACGTTAGTCCCTACTTAAATGGTTGGTGTCTTCTGCAGCTAATCTACGGTCGAGTTCGGCGGTCAAATCTTGGCATGGGTTTCTTGTTCTCACGCTCGAACGGCAGGAACACGACTCAAGAACACTGTTCTTGGAACAAGATCACACACTACCTCCTCGTCAGGGTTTTACAGGAACACACAGAAAAACTTGTGAGATTTTGATTTTTGAATAGCAGCAAAAAGTAGAGAGATGGCTTCCAAAGCCAGCAACAATGGGCAGTTTTGCAAAATTAACATCAGTAATTTTTAATAACAAGGAAATGAATGTTCCTTTAAAATAGAAAAGAATTCAGCCCAATTATCGAATAAAGTACATGGATGCCGCTGTGTTGCATGTCACTTGCCACTTACTACCAGCAACAACTGGTTGTATGTTCCCGGCGTTCAAGCGGCCGACTCATGAACAACAAAATCGATCTGTTTATGAACATACTAGAACAAGTCACCCAAACTCAGCCTACAAGTACATCAGAACTCAATGACCAGTATTCCTCTTGCAGACAATGGATTTAATGCCCCCATTTTGTTCAAGGACAACAAAAGATCCTTTTGTTTACAATTTGGTTGTTGGCGTTTTAGGCAGTATTCCAGGATAAACACATTCATGGGGGTCATTTACTGATGACAAAGCTGAGGAAATTAAGAAAACAGTTCCCAGTCAGCTAGCGGAAATCTATATCACAGTCAAAACTGATCTGTCAATTTTTAAACGAGCTTAACCCAAGGTAGGGAGTGGTTAAAATGATTACAGCTCCCTAGGGTAGTAGAAGTTTGTCAACTTCCAATACTTAAAAGAACTAAACTTGACCGTCCACTTGAAATAAGCCATGTTACATTTGTCTCACCGTGCCTTAGTTACCACTGAAGCTTCAGAAGAAACTAAAAGACAGTAAGCAGATGAACATGTGCTGCCGTCCATTTGCGCGTGGTGTTTATATAGCGCAGACAAGTGTGCACTCAAAAGTACGAACTCCACCCACGCGACAGTTCCATCGAATGTACTTGCGCGTATTTGACTTACACAAGTTTGGTTCTCATCATATGTATGAGGTATGTGTTTTAATATGTGAGCAAATTCTCCCCTTCCAACAAAGTACAGAGAGCTCAGTTTGGATTAAATTGGCAACAGCTGCCCAAGGGTACCTTCTCCATTTCCTCCTCTACGTTGTCACGTCCCTCCTCCAAAAGCTTACGCTTGATTTCCTCCAGCTCCTCTCGTTCTCGACGTCGGTCACGATTGTCGCTGTCAATTTCCTTTTCTCTCTCTTTACGTCGCCGCTCCAAGGCACTCCCCCTGCAGAGCAACAAGAAGATGTGGATATCAAATTCTTGCACTGTTACAGTAAGGAAGTGAAAGCACAATTGTATCCCAAGAGGATCGATAAGATCACCCAGGTGTCATGTTCTTGAGATCCCTTGAGACCAACACAAGACTACTACGAAACCCTAAAAGACCATGGCAAGAAATAGGCCCTGGTTTTTTTTTCACGCAAATGCAGATCTTGATCAGTGATCTGAACGCTAGTTTGCTCCAACCATAACGCAGGTTAAAGTGTTAGTGAACCGACATTGATCACTAATTGCAATCCGAATCTAGGCAAATCAAACAGGCCCAAGAGGACCTCCAGCATGGATTTGAGTCATGAGTTATTTGAATGATCTCAAAAGGCAATTCTTTTTCTTATGTTATTGTTAAACTTTTAGTTATGGCTGGTCTCCTGACTGGTCTTGTGACTGGTCTTGTGACAGTCTTGACCACAACACTGACCAAGTGAACTCACATGTAATATTTGGGATCATCTCGTTCGTCGTCGTAATCCTCCAGGAATTCCCGCAGTCTCTTGGCCTCCTTCTCCATCTCGCTTCTCTCGCCGTCCTGTTTGTCTCGCAGCTTCTCGTACTCACGGCCACGTTTGCGTTCACGGCTTTCCCATGCTTTGAGTCGCTGGTAAGAGATCAGGGGTCAAATCAAAGGAAGCACTGTACTGTGAGACATTTGCAATAAACATCCTCAAAGTTGATTTTATATCCGGACTCTAGCTTCATAACTCACTTTGATCTCACCTTTGCCAAGATCTCATACCCTCTATTGGGCTATTTGCCTTATGGAGTTTCAGATTCCAAGATGATATCTGTACTGGCATAACTGACTTTTTGTTTGTGACATAATTAAAATTATGGCAATAAAATCGCTGAAAAAAATAAAAGCATCATTGAAATTTCCCATCAGATTCACTACCCTGGCGTTACTCAGATCATAAATGTATACACAGAATAAGGAAAACATTGTCATTTCAAATCATTTTGGGACTGAAATGAAAGAACTGGCAGAAAGAAATGACATGTATGAATAGCCTGTAAGTCATCCATTGGTCTGTTCTGAAGTAATATGCTCGCAGTACATGTGTATTTTGACAAGGAAGTGTTATCCAAGAAGGCTTGCATATTGCATCAATCCATCAGGCATGCTTTTCTTGAATCCGGTGCCACAGTGGTATACCAAACAGTGCAGAGCGAGTAGCGACACCAGCAAATTTTTTTCCAGTTTAATGTGTGGTTTTCCTTGTACATGGTTTACTAGGGATGAATGGCACTTTTGCTAGTGCACAGCTCAAGTATTATTTCCTTCAGTCTGACAAATTTAGAATTATAATCGTATGACTTCCATTCTGAACAGTCAGAATGGAAGAGTGATCTGCAGTTCAGTATATCCATTTCAGAAGCATAAGAATATGATTGGTAAAGTAACTCTTGTGAGAGTGTGGTAGTCAAAGTGGTCAATTATTACATGTACAGTAAGTGTAACTGTTGCCCTGCAACTAGTCAACAGCACTACTACTGCCTCCTCTAGAGGGCAATAGTCCTACCTATTCTCACCTGTTGGTAAGCTTCTTCCTTTTCCCGCAGCTTCCTTTCCAGCTTCCTCCTTTCAAATTCTTCCTCTTCGTCAAACCTATCCCGGTCGTGTTCCCTTTCCCGTTCTCGATCGCGCTCCCTTTCTCGATCGCGGTCCCGGTCGCGGTCCCGGTCGCGGTCACGTTCTCGTTCACGCTCTCTCTCACGCTCCTTTTCTCGGTCGCGCTCTTTCTCCCGTTCCCTCTCCCGTTCCAGTCTCCTGGAATTAATGGACATGAAATAACATTGACCAAAGTAACCTTTCACAGCATCAATATTAGGAGCTGCTCCTAATTAACAATGTTAAGAACACCACTTCTGATGGATTACTGCAATGCCTAGACAAACCTTTCCATTATCACCATTGCTGGGCTCAACAAAATTAAAGAGTGAAGCTTGTCTCTCTAGAAAAGATCCCAGTAATAGACTGCGTCTTTGACTCTTTGCTGAGAGGAATTAAACTCAGAGCATGCTATGGGAGTGAATCTCCACAGGAACTTACTGAACAAAAAAATCTGAAAAAGATTTGCCTATACACGCTACATGTATGTCAGGCCAATGTTGATACCTCCTGCAAGTAATGCTTGTGCAATGTTCACATGTTCAAGATGTGCTAAAAAGACAGCACTTTTGAAAAACCAGCCATTTTCTCCTCCTTGTCAATAAGACTGGTTCCCTTAAATTCCATATACTTGGAGTATAATCATAAGGAAAGCCGGACAGACTCTGGCACGTTTAGCATGTCTCTTGAGTGAGTTTGTGAAAATATTGGACTTTTCAAATGAGCTCAAATATCTATGCCAACTCAAAATATTCCATTCTTCTCGGACCAAACAGCTATACATGAATGCCAAGTGTATTGTCTGCAATGTCATATCTCAAACTGCATCAGAGACTTGAAGGACTTTATCGGGACTTTCTAAAAGTTAGAAACAAAGAACAAACCAACAAGCAAACAAACACAAAACAAAAAAAAACAAAACAAACTGAACCCCCCCCAAAAAAGAAACTCCAAACCCAATATCATATCTGTTCAACCAATTTGGAGTGATTACCGTTCTCTGTCTCGTTTTTCTTCTCTCTCCTTCTCCAATTCACGCCTCTCCCTATCCCTTTGTCTCTCACGTTCACGTTCCCGCTCTCGTTCCTTGTCCCTTTCCCGGTCGCGGTCACGGTCTCGGTCCTTCGTGTCCCCCCGCTTGGAGTCACGCTCTTCCCGCCGCTGTTCCCGTGCTTGACGGTCCTTCTCCCTGTCCTCTGCTGCCTGGAGGTAAAAGAAGATAGAGACAAGAGAAAAATGCCTCAGTAGTGGATTTTTTAAAGTTCTCCTACTTAATCAGTCACAAGGTGTCGAGGTATTATGACAAGAAGATGCTTTGATTAGGCCAAGCTGGAGCCTTCGTACATGTACACGAGTAAATCAAACGCCTCATTAGCAGTGTTGAAACAAATTTCATTGTATTGAGACACAGTGGAAATGTTGGGTGTCAGATTCGGTGCTTGTGTCCTCTCATTGAACTATTTTTTTTATAAGGCTGGTCATAACTGAAGGTAATGACCGTGTTTGTTTTGGAGTCCAAGGTATATTCTAGAAATTGAGTTGCACGAACAGGCAGCTAGGCTACAAGTGTTGTCTCCTTGGAGGTTAGTAAAAAAAAAAATTTTGTCTCCTTGGAGGTTAGTAAAAAAATTTTTTAAATGGACAAAGGACACCCGGGACTTTGAGATAAAGCACCACGTGTACCCATAGTTCCACTGAAGGATGAACACTACGTTGGCTCTATAAGAAATCTGCACAAAAGCTCTTCTTATGGAGGTGATTACAAGAGGGAAAGTGGATTGGGATACCATGTGACTGGTTGGGTACAAGTCCATGCACAAACTGTAAAGCATCTATCCATCTGCAAGACATTAACTTATGTACAATGCATACAGGCAATAAGCAACCACTTATTATGGGTAACTCTCTGTGAATAAATTTTTACAGATCATTATGCATAGTGAACATCCTTTTTAAACCAGAAACACAGATGTCAGTGGCATCTTTGATTGTTTAAAAAACTCCCCCCCCAATGTAAAATAGTCAGATTAAAACTTTTTTAATCTCAAGACTTGAAGAAAAATGACAACTTTAGCAATATTTAGGACAACTTTGTAAAACCACTTCGCTCTGTTCAGTGCCACAAGCATCTTGCAAATGGATGGATAACATTCTGTTATACACCATTTTATCAACATAACATCATTGAGCAATCACACAAATAGTACAGGTTCAATACGGTCAAAGGCCTCACAAGCTCCTTGGCTCCTTCCCTGCGCTGACATGCTTGCTGGTGATGAAACCATGAGAATGGCTTATCTTTTGCTCGTTGGCTTTCTTTTTCTCGCGGTCTCTGTAACTTGAATTATCAAGATGCCCTCCCCGGAAGGCCACTTCAACTCTGCTACAGTTTGGTCCAATATTCAGTCCAAACTGAACCACAAACATTTCTCTCTTTTCTCTCTTGGCAAGCTGCAAGTCCGTCATTTTGAACATCCATCCTCTTTTTGAAGGAAAATGGGGTTCAAATTAAACTCGGTCCACGACTCTGCCCGCCCCCATCAAAGTCAGGTCAGAGGTTATGACCTTTGATATTCACACACTCTCCAACCAGACAGAGTGGGGTTTTTGAAGGCAGTGACGGAGTCTGTGGCAGACTTTACATTCAAGTATCCTTCAAAGTGATAATTCAGGATGAAAAGTATGATTCAACCTGCAAAGGAATCTTGGGATTATATGGACCACAAATAAAAGACGCGGGTTCCATGACAACAGTCTCCATGTAGACCCATTTGTGACAATAACGGGTTGCGTTTTCTAACTAATGCAATTGTCTTGATCTGACCTCAAATCTTACACCCAAAACAGCTTTTCATACAACATTCAGCCAAACTTGTATGATTTTTTATGGAGATGGCTCCATATAGATTACATCACTCAGTTTTGCATAAAGACAACATCGCTCCACAAGAAACTGCTGTCATGTATATCTACATGTATGTAGACAAATAAAACTATCATGAATTTGACTTCAACATTTTCCCCAAAACAAAGCATTTCATTCACAGGCATATCAAGAATTACAACAAGAATCTTATGTCAAAACTCCACTCGCTACATGTAGCTCCTCTGTTCACTAACCTCGATTTACAGGGCATTTTCAAGTTTTGATGTAACATCTGCTCACAAGTAAATGGGACCACAGATGCACAGTATGCAAAATTTGAATCTGCTCAGTCGAGCTTCATTTCCTTTTTGGGGTCAAGTTGTGTCATTCAAGCTCAGTTCTTCCAGGAGGCATAGCCTGATGCTGCTAAAAGCAGCTCTTACGATTGAAAAAACACAACCGCAGTGCTAATCTTCTAATCACAACATAACCTGCCTCTGGTAGACATTCCTGACAAGTTCCATCCAGGCACTTCTAAAGTCGGGGGTCAAAGGTCAGCCACTGGGATCACTGAAACAAATCACTCTCTTCATTAACGCTACGGCTACAGAAAATGTCACTGGAAAGTAGCACATACCTCTGAGCGGTCATGTTGTGTCCAGATGGTCAAAGACAAACACAAAGACAACTAAACTAACAAAAGGCTTTCAGACAAAAGGAATACTCTGCTACAGAGAGGGAACCTGTTTAAGCCCCCCCTGCAAAAAACTTCAAGCTCTGATTCTTCTGTGCTTGAGACTTTTCACTTCTATTTTGACGCAAGAAACAAGTTTGAACAACTTATCACATTTCTGTTTTCTTTTTGGAAAAGTGCAAGTTTGGACTTTCACAAACACTCGGCAAGTTTTAACCACCTTTCAGTCAAATGTCAAGGACAGACACTGAGTATTAATGTGGAGGGGGAAAAAACCGAAAGCAGCTTACTTGGTTTGAGCAGAGCAACATCCCGTCTCAACATTACACAGTAATGAACTGGCAGCTCAATGGACTGCCTTAAAGGCTGTATACTCACCAGCCAGAGGAAGGTTTATCCCTACGGAACATGAACAGCAAGAACGCCACTCTGCTGTATGGCTTCTATGGCGAAGTATTCTATAGCATTCTATGCACAGTGGGGGGTACATTACAACCGGCCATTAACATCTTATATGCCACACTGTATGGCTTGCTACAACTAGTAATATCACATGCATTACTGCAGACTGGAAAAGAGTCTAACATTCCATTAAAATGAAATGAAGAACTAGATTGATGTGGTCTACTTAATTCACTGGCCTTTAGCAGAAAGGTCATCTGATAGGGCCATACCATTAAGATATGAAATGGATTCATTTTCGTGGTGCCTGGAGCTAGGCCATGAGGTTCTCTTCCACAGGCAAAGAGGGAACTAGTTCGGAATGTAAAACAGCATTTTGAATGATAATATGCAAGACCAAATGTAAGAATACAAACTCTGGGAATGGATTTTTTTCCAAGTGCTGCTGATGCAAAGAAAATGTAATTCACGGTTGTTTCTGTCTATACAGATAAACTGCAAAACACCTGTATATCAGAAAACACACTCCCATGGACTCTAGTCAATGCAGCTTTGTGGAAATATCTGCAAAGAGCAGGTCTATCAAGTTCCAGTTTCCTGACCTCGGTTCCAATCCCCAAGCAGATGGTATGAGGCTGTTTAACCTAGCACAGAGAAAATGCTTGACTCATCTCTGAGACGAGCCTGGAGGCTGGACATACTTTGCTGCTTAAAATACCCCCTATGATATGCAAATAAGTCAGCAAGAGGAAGAGGAATGCATAGCTATAGCTTCTATAGAAGAGGCTGGAAAAACTGACATTTCACATTTAATCCTCACTGACCCATGGGATAGGAAGATCTGCTTGTATGGTCAAATGAACATTGAAAGTCTTGCCCATATTTGCGCATATTGGAAAACGATGGCCACTTCATGTTGAGAAAACCATTGGTCCAATAGGGTTGCATTTTGAAACTTCAAATTGTAACTTTTTCGGCTAAGTTTACCCGAAACAAACACACACCACATTGTTAAGCAATGGGGTGTGAACTTTCAAGCATTTGGGGCGATTGGACATGGAACGACCAATTTTCCATTGTGGCAGTTGATTCTGTCTTCCTAAGATGTTTTTTTTTCTGGCATGTATCTTGCTCTGCTACTTGTAATTCTCAGTCTCTGAGTCGTTTGTTGGCTTACATGTACTGAAACATTTATACTTTTATACACAAAGTGCATGTAAATTAAATCCCAGAGTAATGGCATACTTCTTCAGCATTGCCATTTGCACAGGACAGTTTGGGAAGAATCATAAAACTGGCATACAATAAAGGAAGAGTGATTTACTTCAATTCTTATGGTTCGCCTTGTGTTAAATACTGCTCCAAAGCCCATAAACTTCATTCTTGATGATTTTACAGGATTTTGCTGAGAAAGGTTAATACAGGTATCTATTTTCAGCATTTTAAAAGAACTTGCAAATTGTGAAATCCAGAAGGAAGAGTATAACTCTGTGATGTACTGACAAGTAGGGTCCAAATTAATGTGTACATGTATGCAGAGAATGAGAATGTTTTCACCTAGTTTTCATGAAACTGTACACACAAATCATTCTGGCAACCAAGCAATCCTTGGATGGGAGAAATAAAGCATGATCTCATTGCCATAATCACAGGTTCTTGCTTGATGTCGTTGCACTGAAGTAAAACTCCAGAGACATTGTGTGTGTGTGTGTGTAGAAAATCCAGCAATATTTTATGGCCAAAAGGGTAAAAGACTGAGGAACTTTTGGACCTTGATATGAAAAAAATTGACAACTTACTTTTAAAACAGGCTAGACTGTTTTGCTTTTTGTTTTCAAACACATATAACTCTAAAAAAGATTTGACAATGAATTTTTATTTTCAAGTAACAGAAATACACCTTTGGCAATGCCACACGTGCATTAAAATGAGCAGCATTTTCTGAATGGGTGAATTAATATTTTGTTCAATTTTTTGTTATCTCTTGCCCAACTGTGGTTTTATTTTACGAGAAGCTGCCTTCAGCTACCACCAAATGAGAATCTGATATTTTTCATGAGAGATCTAGCCCCAAGCAGCCATAAAAATGAATCACTTTCTTCAATGCCGAATGTACAGTCCCAGAACAATCAGGAATATAACCCACACCAAACAGCGATATCAGTTACCAGCACTAAAGCTGTCTGATTTTTGAAAAAGTTAAAACTTAACATCTTTACTCCGAAAGCTCATTTTGATGCATCAATAGGAACAAAAAACCAAACCAAAGATTTCAGGATACATGATTACCTACAAAAAACTTCCAAAACTTAAAGACAAGAGGGAAATATGAATTACAAACGATAAGATTTGAAAAATGATTTCACTGACATTCCAGGAATTTTGCACATCATAGCAACACAAGAAATTCTTATACAGTATATCCAAATAGCCTCGAAGAACAACATTCTGAAGTAACAATGCTCAAAAACATCAACAGATCGACCATTAATACTTGACGAAAAAAAAAAGCTATAAATATGGCGTCTAAAAATAATAAAACATAAAACTTCATATGGAACTTTTGAGAGGGAATCCTGGACAACCTACCTTGTATGTGTCTCGGAAGCGGTCAATCTCTCGGCTGATTATATGTCGTTTGTCTTCCTCGATGTTGTTCAAATCCTGGATATTTTCCTGCAGGACGGTTTCAAAGCAAAATGGATCCATTAGGCTGGAAATCAATACTAGGAAGGCCACTGGAATGTATCAAGACACTGCAATTAATCATAGCATCTCTGACACTCTTGCTATAAATGTGCACACAATGCAGAACACATGTAAAACACGGACCTAATACAGAAATGGTATCAATTTTCATGAATTAAGGAAGTTCCTCTCGTTGAAAAGAATCCCCTTTTCCGAATAAAAATCATTAAACAGGCCCTCTTACCAATCAAGTTATCATCAATTTTCTATATGCACTTAGGCCATGTCCGAAACGGGCTTCCAGAGCTATGGCTAGATCTATTGTCTACACGTCTCCACACATTTCAAATGGAACAAAGACCTAGACCTACCTCTAGACAACAGATTCGGAGGCAGCCTTATCTAAATTTACAAAACACACAGCTGTGATAGGATGTGCTGAGGGGAACAGAACAAAAGGGTGGATTTGTTACATGTGTGGTTCAGGTTAATACAGTGCACCTGCCACTTCGTTGACTGCTAAATCCAAAGAAATGTGTCATTTCGGACACAGCTACATGAAGGTTAGAGCTGAGGCTATTTACTTGAAATGAGAATGACAAATTGTTCACATTTTCGACAGAGGAAGGAGGGAGAAGGAAATATCAGACATTACATGAACAGTAAAGAAAAGTTCCGAATCTGTCCTCTGTTTTGGCATACCTTTTTATTCTTCTTAGAATCTTTGCCATCTTTTTGATCTCTGGATTGTTGCTGGTCTTTGCTTTGGTCCTTGGACGTCTCTTCTGGACAAGCAAAAACAAGGGATGAAAAATCAGCCCTCAAAGTTATCTGAAACAAACATATCCTCAACAACAACAGAGATGCTTCAAATTTAGCTCTTTGGTTTTTCTGACACTGCACCCAGATCTAGAAAACTGGCCTTTGGAAATGATGCTGATGCAATATAAATATGTGGCTCGGTATGTATTAATGAGCATCTTCAGGTGAAATACATACTGCTAATACGTGTAGGATAAAAATCATTAAGCAAAATTGTAATTTAACCACCTTGTGTTTCCAAGCTACCACACTGGTATTATTTTCTACCATTTCCTACAAAGCAAAATACAAAACATCACTCAAGGAACATGACCAAGTTGTGGAACAGAAAAAGAAGCGTAATTTTTTTCTTTCAGTTGATGAAACAGAGATGAACATTTGCAAGTGTCTGGCATGGCTTCAAGGCCAGTTTCAGAAAGGAGCTGACGTTTTCTCCCCTTTGTGGTAAATGGAAGGAAGGCTCCCTTTAGACGATTTTGTTTTGTCTGAATAAATTTTTGGGAATGTACCGGTACACAATTGCAGGAAGTTCTGGTCAAGTAGTGAGCCAGCCTACCTTGTGGTTTGTTGAGGGCGTGTTTATAGTCATTGGTCAATCGGTCAATTTGACCTTTGATGTTAGCGTCTTCCGCTTGTGTCTCATCATCCAACTCCTCTGAACTCTGTAAAAAATTAAATGAACCTGTGTTCCTCATCCAGATGGCCTGAACGAGCCATCTACAATTTCTTCACATACTCCACCCAGAACGCATGCTGAATCCATATCATAACGTCACAATTTCAAGACATGTATTACAGTGATGTTTCAATCAGGATACCAGATATTGAGAAAAAGTACGCCTCGTCCGAATCACTTGGCTGTGGATTGAAATTACACACAACTCTATGGGAACTGGCCGCAGCCACTACCATAGACTTGTGTGTGTAATTTAAAGCCACAGTTATGTAACTTAGACAAGGCGTTACCTGTCCCTTCTCTGCAAGATACTCATCCAGCTGAATCCGGGTTTTAGCATCAACTTTGACCTGAACACAAGCAAACAAACAAACGATGGCACTTAACTCATTAGCGCTAGCAGTATTTCACAAGTACAAGTGAAACGTGTTGAACATTAAAAACATTACCGCTGCGAATGCTTAGACTTACAACATGAACATTTCACAGTTTTTCAAGAGCAAATGCTCATGTTCATTTTACTTTGAAAATGTTAATCTGAGACATGAAATTCATGCTACAATCCAAGGCACATATACAGGTAACACTGAACACTTTCAAAATGACATCTGAAAATATGAAAGAAATGACACATAAGCAGTAAGCTCCATCTCGTACAGATTGTACAGTTTTGCTAAATATTTCAAAAATGTCAGAAACAAATTACAAAAACTGGACCAATATTTCAGAAAATACGGACTGATCACAATTCATTACAATGTCTATTTCCAAAAGTGATCGAAAACAACCACAGCCTGGCGGAAGTGAAAGTACTAGTCATAAGAGCACTTGGCCGGCAGTGTAAAATCAGAAAATACGAAATTCAGGAATCTAATCAGGACAACAATATAAGAAAAACACGAAAATAATATGGTTCAAAAATTCCGACACTGCTAAGCATGTACATACTGATTTTAGATAAAGGTGAACTATTTGGGGACGGATTTGGACATGAGTTGATCCCACGCATAGGAGAAACCCATTTTGCACAGATCATTAGACACAGCGGCCACCTTGACTTAATGGTTTGACCACTCAAATTTCAAGTTCATCATGTTTTGTAAAAACCAAAATCTCAAAGTGGACCCCTACAGTTATGTGTACGACTAAGAATCCAAAATAAGGGTCTACTTACCAGAAGTTTCTTGTCTCCTAATTCTAAATCATGTAAGAGTCTGATGGCCCTAAGGCTGGCCTCGGGGGCACTGTACTCACAGAACCCAAAGGCCTGTAGTTTACCCGATGCTCCCTGGACCGTTTCCAACTTGATATGACGCCACATTTCTGCCAAGAAGAGGGAGAGTGTTTAGTGAAGGTAAATATATTCTGTCCTACCTTGGCACCAAAGTGAACATGGATATGTGATGACACAATAATTTTGTTTATATTGAGCAGATTCTTGTATTCTCCTGTGTAATTCATGATCCATAATTGAACCTTTATGACTTTGTTGACATCACGTACGTGACCATATTTGTTTTTACCTTTGCAGAATACGAACTGCACATCCCCAAAATAGTCATGTTTGTGATGCCGTGAAGCTATCTCCACTTATAGTGTACTTTGTGTACTTTTTATGAAGGGAAAACAGGAGGGGAAGACCTACGATATACGTATGTGAATTGACGTGGTCCCTGATGGGATTTGTGGAACTTGGCAAACTGAAAACTGACAAACAGACCCACGTCCATGTATCAGGGGTCCAATTTCGTGGGGGAAAAAAAGGGACCACAGGGCCAGTATCTAATAAAATTTATACGACCAGAACACGTGACAACACTGACACAAGCACTAAACAAAAGTGACTAGGAACTAATTTCTCCTTACACGTTCAATCTCAAAGTACATGAATGTACATGTACCTGTACATTTGTGCCTTCATCTCAAAGAAAATTAAATTTGTGCAATTCAATTTTGATGGAAATTTTGGAATGATCTAGATCAAGAAAAACCACTAGACTCCTAAGCTTTTGCCAGAATGGTTGCTACTGATGTTAAAATCACCGGCCTCGGTCCAGTGGGTCGTTCAAACCCCAATGCATGTTTATCCCTTGTGTTCTCTCCCCACTTACAGACAACATCGCACGGATGAGTGCGTCCGGGGCTCTCTCCGAGATGTTGCCCACAAAGACGGTGGTTTTGGGTTTGTCGCCGTTGGCCGCCTCCTGCTCCCCTGAGGGACTGGACGTGCCCTGCTGCTGTTGCTGCATCTGGGTCTGCTGTTGCATTGGCTGTTGAAAAAAAAAATTCCCTAAATTGATTTCTGTGATGATATCTGTGGATTTGGAATTCCTAAATGTCACATAGGGTATGTTGTGTGTGTTTTGTTATGAATGTTATTAAAAAAATGATATTTTGAACTACAACTGTTCCAATACTTTTTTGTTGAAATGATTGTAGGTATTATTGGTGATTGGGAAATGTTATTGTCAGTGGACAATAAATTCAGCTATTGAGTGATTAACAGAATGTTATGTTGGTTGCATCTTCACAAATATGAGAGTTTTACACATTTTTACAACACATGTACAACGACAAATTCACACAAACTTTGACCTGGTTGGGGCAAGTCACAGTAACATGTCTGGGTGTGTTTTCTTTTTCCATATTTTTGTGTGGTTTTCATCCCTTGCTTTCAACTCACTGTTTCTTTCAGAATGAAGTCTGGGTGTGGTACATGTTGCATACGCCCCTGTGAATGACACACAGACTATCACAACACTCTGTCCAACACACACAGAGGGCTCACAATGTGTAAAATATCCACGGCTTACCACAACCACTTGCTCTGAAACGATTAATTATTTCTTTGTCCAGTTTCACGGAGTAACAACAATTGGCCACAGGCTACATATATGGTACGTGTCAACTCAAATCTTCCTTGACGGGACTTTAAAGGTATGAGCACGACTTGAAGAGTTAAAAAAAACTACAAGAAGTGTGTGAGATGGCACTAACCAGCTGGAAGTTCTGTAACATTCACATGGATGGCCATCTCTTCCCTAAGCACCAAGTTGTTTCTTACTAGGAGACTTTCAGGATTCCCTTCAAAGTCCAGCTTCTGCACTAAACAAATGGCGTGTTCTTTGTACTTCAGCTCTCATGGGGCATCAAATGCCATATAAAGCATTGTAGCTGCAATCTACAAACCATCTCAACAGATGGACTTCCTTACCCCACTGGGACGCTCCTTTATGTACAACACATTTTATGCCCGTTGGATTGGGAAGGGTTATAGGAATGATGAACAAGAAGTTGAAACAATCTGGTAGAAGACTGGATCATGTCAACATGTCCACACTACCTGTGCCTTTGGAAATAGCACAACGGAAAACGTTCAAACCTGGTGCCACCGAAATTGCATCCTCTGGGTTCCAATTAAATCAATGCACTTACTGGGAACCTCTGTCCAGGTATGGGTGGTTGTGGAAGATTGGGTCTCATTCCAGGAGGCATCTGCAATGTTCAAAAATGTAGAAGAGGAAGTTTTTAAGACAGATATCCACAATATCCCCAACTTTTGAGATAGTATATTCACAGATATCCAAAACTTTGCTCTCAATCAGCTATCCCACAATTGCTAACACACAGTGCAAGTATTTACTATAAGAAAGCCAAGAAGAGATATTCACAATCAGATCTCCAAAATTTCTGAGAAGGAAAATTCACAATCACTGATTCCCAACTTTTGAGCTACATACCCCCAGTTATGAAGCACTATTCACAATCAGATGCATGTATCCATGCTTATGCATGAAACACAAAATGTGAGCAAAGACTTCTGACCATATGCTAGGGAATGAATTTATATGTGTCTTGCTTGTACTGTGAGTAAAGGAAGTCCTCCAAAATTTCTTGAAAATGTTACTTGGAGGGGTGGCTAGTGCCTCAAATCTTCAAAACCTCTGGCAATTCCTGTCATTATGTTGAGGCAGTGAGAATGGCATTCTTGAGCAGTGCGGTTGATTCAGAAGAATTGGGCTGAAGTTACGCACGAATGAGCAAGAACACAAGGTCTAACCCACGACCTTCACTCATGGCATCCTTCGCAATCAGCTATGCACTTTTGCCATTCACCCTCAATCCTCCAAAATCCTGCAAAACCGCCTGATGGATTTTGAAGGATTGAGGAGGGTTAGGGTTAATCTGGTTTAGGTCGACAGGGTAGCCACCGTTCAAGCTGGTAGTATGACCGTCAACTTGCCTTGGACATGGGAGGCTGTGGTAGGAGGCCCATCTGGGGATTCATTGGCATGCCTACAACAAAGACATGAATATTCATTACTTAATTTGAATAAACATTACCTTCTCACAAGTGTTCATTACTTATCTCATTGAGAAAATGGTTCCAACAGGCTTAAGTGAAACTTTTCTCGAGTTCATTTTTATAGTAATGGCTGTGGAACTATTCCAATCATGAAAAAATTCTTCCAGATTCATTGTGTGAATTTCGAAGGCGGCATTTTGAAGGCAGCACAGAATGTTTTAGGGAGAACAAAAACTTCCTTTTATAAAACAAAGAGGTTCTTGGTTGGAGACCAATTTATTTTGTGCCAAAAAAGCCACACTTTTTTCCTTTTATGTCATCCTATGTTAATTGCAGGTCATTTCACTGTCTCTTTGTGGTTTATGGCTCTAGAGAAATGGTTAACATGTTTACAGACCTGTACAGTCTGCCATTTGTTATTTGTACGTTAAATTCATTTGAGACAACAAAAGTACTCAACAGATAAAGAATGGGGCTTTACAACCAACCTTTTGATGTCTAAGCTGAGCTGCATTTGAGCTGAATGTTGTATACTCCAAGAAATACATCAGTTGCAGAGTCAGTTAGAATTGCACCCAAATTCAGCATCTGGGACACTCTCATACAGCCGATTTGCACACTGATACCACAATTTATGGCAACCATACAAGCGTGTGCATCATGCCACCCCCTGAATTAAAAACAAACTACTAATGGCAATTTCCAAAAATGGGTCTTGAGAGACACTGTTGAAAATGGCCTTTCTTCATTTCCTGCTGGCATGGAACCGGATGAAAATATGTTACCGTTCATTTGCCGCATCGGTACAAAAACCACATCAGGGACCATTTTCACAGTCTAATGGTCACTGATGTTTTAATATTTAGTTGCACTGCAGTTACAGAGACATATATCCAGGGAAACTTACCAGATGGCATGGGTCCAAAAGGAGGGAACTGATTCTGATTAACGCCAGCAGGCATTCTTGGACGGGCCATGAAGGGGTTACCGGGTGGGGGAAAGGACATCTTCAACAATCTCTTCAATAGCTTCTTTTTATACAACTGAAGGATAAGGAAGGAAATGATTTTTTGTTGGTCAAGCTAAATTTTGAAAAAGTGTGTACTTTCAAGATTTAAGTAGTGCGACAACATTTCAACTCGATGATCTTATTCCTGATATCCCTCAGGGTTGCTGTTTATAAACCTTCTTTTTGATGCCTTTTTGGATCCATCCTCAGTCATTTAAAATTCTTCAACTGGCTCTACCTAAACACTGGATGCTTTGTTATTATTTACAAAAGGTGATCCCTGGATAGGTGACTTCAATCCTTCAAAATCCCCCTACAATTCCTGTTATTGTCAAGGTAGTGCCAATGCTAAACAGGCAACAGCAGATGATTTGAAGTATTTTATCTACAGCCTAAAATTAGACATGGATGAACACTAAGGCATCCTTCAAGCTCAACCACAAATCTTTCCATACAGCCACAGTCCTCAAAAATCCTCCGCAAACCACTTGGCCGCTTTTGCAGGAATGATGAAGATTAGGGTTGGGGTCAAACTCTGTTGGACCGTAGCTGAGTTTGGTGCCCAAAACAAAAAAAGAATTCACAATGAGTGGTAAGAAAACAGTAAGTGTTGAAGAGGGAATTACAATGTATCTATGTACATAGTCATTCATGCTGAAGCCAAATTCATTACTAGCAATTTGCAAATATCTGTAATTTCTACCCACACATGCAGCACATGTTGAAAACGAGGGCTCATAAAATTTGAGCATCTTGGCCAATACAGCACTAAGCTAAACTAACAAAGCATCCGAGACGGTATAGTCACCAGGTCCCTAATTTTGCCGCCTAGGCCTTCAAGTATTGAGAAGCCTGATTGGTTTGCATAGTAAGTGGCGAAATGTGGGACCTGACAACTACACGGTCATGGACGTCAGCACTAGGTTAAACAGATGCTACAGAATGAACAGATGAGGGCTAGTGGTGAATAATATGCTACCATGCATGTCTACATAGGCCCTGTGTCATGTATATAGTCTGATAGTTGAGTCCCCTAACATGGCACACTTCGACGTTCACTTGACTTTCCTCACACAGCGTTGCCAAACCTTTCTTGAAAAACGTAAACCTCATTTGGTTAAAAACTGGTACCCCTTTCATGATAAAGGGTGTTGAACCTTTGTAAACACTTTCATTGTCATGAAATTATAATCCAAAACTGTCAACGTCTGGAAAGTGGGTTTAAATTCAGCTGAGTGTTCCCTGGCTGCCAAAAGTGGCACACTTCAAATAAAATATCAAAAATCCCACATAAACATGTACGCCATGCTTACTTTGCGGGAAATTTAGCACAACTCCACGCGTCGTGATTTATGAACAATCTTCATTCATCTAGTAGTACGCATTTGCACATGAGCGAAATGCATAGCAAGTGACCACCCATTAGCATGCAAGGAAGAGCTATGAACATGAATAAGTCACAGATAACTTACAGAATTTGGGCCGAGCTTTAAACTCAATGAAAATTAGCAGTTTTGGGGCCGAGTTTTCTTTACACTTGTGTGTTTTGAGCATAGCACCATGTCGTCCGTGCATGTGTAAAGGGCGGCTGGTTCCTATGCTTTTCGCGCATGCGCAAATGTGTACTACTAGATCATTCATGAACCACAGCAGAAATGGGTCCGAACATGGAGGAAGGAAGGGTCCGAGCATGGAGGAAGGAATGGTCCGAGATGGGTTCGAGTCTGTCGTGGGTCCGAGTTGGTATTGGGTCCGAGTTGGTTTGGGTCCCAGTTGACTCAAAACCTTATTTTGGAGGTGAATTCGGAAGATTTCGATTCGAAGAATGAGCTATTTTGAGTGAAATGAATAAATGGAACAAAGACCTATTGAAGGTATGCCTACTTCACCCGACCATAAGCCTAATCACAAATACTGCATGGGTGATTTTGCACTATTGTAGAAAGGCATTGTGAGAAGGAAAAAAGGACGATGTTTGCTTCTTTTTCCTTCCCACAATGCCTTTCTACCATTGTGTAAAATCACCCATGCAGTATGTACGATAAGGCTTATGTCCAAATGTTGCTTTAGTCACTTCCCCCTATTTCCACGTCACCCCTAGCCACTTAGCCCCATCCCCACTTCGCCTCATTTCCACTTTGCCGTCCGTGCTCGAGTAAGTGGATGGGGCGAAGTGGTTAGGGGCGAAGTGGAAATGGGTCGAAGTGGAAATGGGGCGAAGTTACCGACACCCCAAATGTTAGGCCTAACCATTATTCGGCCGAGCAGGCCCACTTTTGACAAATCATTTTAACCGTTATAGATTCTAAAATATTTCCACTGATCTCATAAAAACACGTTAGAATTCAGCATAAAACAGGTGACCAAAGAACTCACTTTATGTTAACCACTTCTTCCAACGTGACCAGCGCAAGCCTTCAGGTATACATGTGTGCGCTGTACGTACGCACATATACATCAAGATGGCGCACATCGATCGCACGGTACGGTACATGTACAGTACAGTACGCGCGTTCATTTCGCGTAGGTTATTTCGTGGCGTTTCCCCACAAGGCTGCATACAGCGCCCTCTACCGCATACAGATGATCGCGATTTCGACTTGTATAGTTGTGAGTTGTATAGGCCCTACGCGCCCTTAAAACAGTGCCGCCTGGTGACTCTAATAAGAGGTTGGCTTGACGTTTTCACTGGAAATTCAATATTGTGGCCGGAACTTCAGTTTTCTTTTCAATTTAATAAGGGTTAGTCGTACAAATTTTCTTTATTTGCCCTCCCCCAAATAGTCGTAAAGCTGAGCGCTCACCTCTGAACGTAGCCGCCAGCATCTAGGCCTGTGCAAAACAGGTCCAACAGGTGGGAGGTTTTCGTGAACGAAATACCCCGAGTTGGAAACCGTAAGTCCCAAATTAGAGACTTATAGAAAATCTCGATGATTGGTTTCACTTATGGTACCTCTTTTGTAAATAACCCGTGGGATCACAAAATAACGATGAGCTCCCGTGGAAATATAGCGATTTAGTGGAACGCACTTGAATATGGGCGATTCACAATAGTGCGCCTGCAGGAGTTTGCAACGCGTTGGCCAATCACGATGGGCAAAGTGTGCGTTTGGAAAGGAATTGCCCATACTGAGGCTGACCGGGGAGTACGTCAAAACCGACTTTTGTCTCCGTCAGGATTCGTGTCTGATATCTCTGGCCTCTGTACGCTTCCGTACTAAAGTAGGTAATACAGGTATGTTTTATTTGGTTTGGTTTGTTTTCAAATGAGGTTTGCTTCCTTTCTATAATTTTAGTTTGTATAGGTTTAGAGGAAAAAATTACCTGAGCTACCTGCTGCCAACATAAGTAATCCCTTTTTATCCTGATGAGAATTTTTTGAGGGGGATGTCACAAATTGAATTCAATTCAAGTTATTGACGGTGATTTTGTGTGTGAGGCACTTTACTCTTTTTCTTAATGTAACGGATCTTTGCTATCAAGCGAGCGCTTGGTTCTGTCGGCACGAGGTGCTCTTAGAATGGAATCAGGCATCGTTCCGTCACTAGGTAGCGTGGTAACTGTGCGTGCCTCCGGCCTCCCTGCCCTAGGTGCCACGCTGATAAATGTATCCTGCTAAAACAAACCGGACACCTGCTTTTCATTTTAACCCCAAACCAGTTCTGATTCTTTATTTCAATGATTTCCACTCAACTAATACTGTATTAATCTCAGTCCCTGTAATTAATATCAGAGCATTAGTCATTCTAAATCCCCTCCCCTTTAACTGTGATTAGACTGTGCAAACCTTCCGTAATCCATGGGGCCAATTTCATAGAGCTGCTTAAAGCACAAAATTTGCTTAAGCCCGAGAAAACCTTGCTTGATAAATCAGGTAACCTGCCAAAGCTCTATGTGATGTATGTTGTTTGGGAATTGTGTTTAGCTGTCTTTTGGTTAGCATGACAATCAGATAGAGATTGAGCTGGTAACCTTTGTTTTTTAAGCAAGGTTTTTTGCGCTTAAGCAGCTCTACGAAATTGGCCCCAGTTGGCTGCAGATTTTGTGAAGCGTGATCACTGCACTGCTGAGTCACAACAGCGCGCACGGGCAATCGTTTTTCCACCAGCGAGAAAGGTGAAACGAGCAATAGAGCCTTCGCGCCTACTTTATAAAACAGTGGTACCTTAAACAGAGGACGGCCCGACTTCGTCAAATCATCCCCCACCGAACAAAACCAAACGCTCCTGGGTTCGTAAAAAGAACAAAACAAGATTTGCGAAACCCAACATACAATTCAAAAGTTGATTAATACATTTTTAACAGTAAAGGCAGTATGAAGAAATACAGAACACATAAAATTCTAAAACGTTGAAATGCTGAAGCTACAAAACTTACTCAACCAACTAGTGCTCTAGTCAACTCCTTAAATTTCTCATTTACATTTCCTTCGATACATACATTTCTAAAGGGTATGTTTGGCAACAAGTAATATTCTGAAAATTCAAGATTTCATGTCAAACCTCTCTCTGTGTTACCAGTTGCTTTCCGTATCAAGTAAAGCACAGTATATACGATCAATAATTAATTAACTAAAACATTAATCAAATGATTGATAAAACATTCAGGATGTTTAAATTGTCTCTGATTAGTATTTTGTGCACAGATCACGTAGGCCTAATGTAGTGTCCAACTCAAATTTGTCGTTCTAATCCCTTTTGGAATTACTCAGAATTTGAACTTTTTCAAAGACTATTAGGATTCAATAATGATTCAATTCTTATTTGCCAAGGACCAATAAAAATGCGATTAATGTTCATGTTAACTTCTTAGATGCATGGTTTTCTTCGTAGTCATGTGCCAAATCCGCAACGGCACCGTCTCCAAGACGAAGGCTAAGTCACTGCCGACAAATTTCTGAAAGTTGGCTTTGGTGGCCAGACTACTGACGATGCTGCTGAATTCCTCTAGCACTTTGACGTTGCCCATGCTCATCATCTCTAATGAGATTATCCCGTGCATCAAGGCAGCAAGAAGGTCCCTGCTGAGAAGGTCCCTGCTGTTCTGCCATAGTCGTATGGCAGCCGGGCCCTCCCTCTGCATCTTCTTGGAGCCTACCTACCAGTATGAAAACTTACACTTATCGAAATATTCGGCCATATCACCATCGGGGAAGAAACCGTCGTTTCGCGGTATTTCCGTCGGTGCTATTGCTGTTTAGGCAGCCCACAGCTTGTTGCTTAGAGTGAGCTCCTCCAAACCAAGTGGTGGCCAGGACGTCGTACCTGTCAACCCAACACTGATCTGGAGCCCAGAAACGGAATTCCGTCCTCGGTGTCCTGCTGGCAGCATGGAGGATACCATCCATACCGTTTCAAGCGCTCTTCAATGGTCTGCTGCTCCGGTGGAGCTGTTGCGTTAGGGTCATTCGTGATCACCTGGCATCTGGATTCTCTAGCAGCTGTTTGAGGGCTGTCCGGTGACTGAGTGCCGGTATCCATACTCACAGGCATGGATGTTTGAACCTCTTTAGAAGGTATCTCGGATTGCTTCCTCACATTCAGGAAATACTGCCCCGATTCTATGTCACGGGGATGGGTACCGTATTTGTCTGGCAGTATCATGCGGAACAGCCGCATAACTTCAGGACTGTGGGGGTACTTGGTCTTCCATTACAAGTCGTTCGCGGGTATCCTCATTCAATCGAGTGAGCAGGACAACGAGGGGCCTTGGCTGTTCCTACGCCAAACGACGGTCTCAGAAGAAATTGGTAGAGACCTTGTTGATCATACGTCCTGTATACGAGTTTCACTACAGGGGCACGACTCTCCTTGAAGAAAACATTATGGAGAGTCAGGTTACTGACGAATTCCTGCCCACCTGCAGAATAGTCGGCCGGTTTTTCGGCGTAGGACTTCTTCACATTGGATTCACTAAATGAATGGTATGTTGGAGGTAGTCCCGGTGTAAATGGCTGACCAACCGGTTTTCCCTCCTGCCAGAGAAAAGAACCTTCTAAGCTACTCCAAGCATGTCTCTGGTAGCTCCTGGTGTCGGTGTTTTCTGAGACGGGGAGCCCTTGTAATTACAGATATCAGGCATGGCTTCTTGGCAGGAGGATCCAGCCCAGCCGGTTCGACGTGGTGCACTTCTTCAGCAAAGTTGTCGCCTGTTTCATCTGTCAACGTGAGTGAGGCTTCCTGGCACTAGGCAATCACACACTCATCTGACGGCAAGAGATCGTCAATCTGGCTGTTCATACCAGGTGGAATGTCTTTCTGAACGCTTTGTCTCTTCCGTCATTCTTCCGTGGCATTGCTGGCATCGGCTACAATCTCTGGGGTCCAGTTTGTTGGGTCGTGGGTATGGCCATTGCTCCGGATTCCTGGCGAACGAATAGGCCACGTAGAGCTGGGCAAAGCAACCATTTGTTGCCTCATGTCGGTATGCTTGATATGACGGCCTGTTGAAGTTCCATAGTTGTTTCACACCAGGGACACACAGTGACTGCTGCCGATGTAGGTTGGTAAGATGAGTCCTCGTGAGTGTGAGGGTGCAGCTCTCAAACTCTCAGCCCTGGAATTGGCATCGCTAGAGCCCTCCCTCCTTTTTCCAATGACAGCGAAAGGTCACAACTGCTTTTCTTGCCCAAAGGTCGCTTGCAACAGGTAGGCCTACTCTGCAAGAACTAAACACAAAGTCGATGGGAATCATCAGTGCAACTCAATGCCATCGGCCCCTTAGTTGACTATCGAGTTGGTGCAAACACATAGATTGTACTTATCACATCCTTCAACGCAGATTAATATTGTTTCCTTATTTAGGATTCTATAACGTTAGCGTTACATGCGCATTTCCAACCACCCCGGTATCAATCCATCTTCGATGCCTGATTTATCAGCTGGACAAGCAATCAGCAAAGTCTTACTCACAACTTATTTCAGGTTTATAATCCTTTGTCTGGATCAACACTAATCTCCTCTTCACAGTTATTGAAAGACAACAATGACAACATTAACGTACACAATACTACAACGTACATGTACATCTCTGTACAGCTCTTTTGGGCCGACCCCAACAGAGGTAACACGGCCATCACCTTACCTTACCCCGTCTTCACGGCAAGGTGTTAATTAAGGAGGAACAAAGCAGGCTGAACTTCGTTCTCCGAATCTGGCAAACATGTGGACCACAGCTAAACGCGTGTTTGTGCGGCACCCGTGTAACACAGTAAAAAGTGATCAGTCCCTCAAGTGGTACACTGCTTCGATCGTAAGATGAAAGTATAGACGTGTATTTGCCTGTCTCATGACTAAGAATGAATCCTGATGCGCTTGTTTTCTTCCGTAGCAATAGCTGATCTATTTACGTTCCTTATACTACTGTGGCGGATTTGCAGCTTTGTATGGCTTGAACTATTCAAATGCACTGCACTTTGGGGTTTGCTGGAGGGTGCTTCTGCACCCGAGATAAGATAAGGTCCAGTCCATTTGGGTGTGAGTTTTGAACACACGCCACGTATTCTCGATGGGTCATACAACCATACTGGTTGCCCCTGCCTTAACGTCTCCTTATCAGCCTTCAGCTGATTATATTTTTTATCCTGGTACTGGGCACTCTTGTGCAGCTTGATGTGCTTTTTGCAATTTCGCTCTTAGATTATCAACATAACCTTGGGATGTAGGTTTGCGGGTACACCATGTAATATTCTCTTTTGGGAAGAGGTGTGGTTCTGAGAAGAACCGGTGAGTGTTTCAGAACCACACCTCTTCCCAAAAGAGAATATTACATGGTGTACCCGCAAACCTACATCCTATGTACTTCCACCATGCAAAGCTTCAAATCTTACTCAACATAACCTTCATAGTCTTCCACATCTGACTCACTGGATCTTTCCTCTGCGGGCGAAGCTACCACTGCTTCAAGGGGCAGAGTTAAATTTCTCCTCAACATCATCTCATTTTGGAGTTTGTCAGTAGTCTCATGCACAGTGGTATGGTAGGCCATCATAACGGATGGTAGAGATTCATCCCACTTTCTTTGGTCATCTTCTGCATACTTTCTCAACATAGAAAGCAACGTTCGAGTATAACGCTCCGCCATACCATCACTTTGTGGATGAAACGGGGTCGCGCTTGTCTTCTCCATGCCGAACAATTTACACACAGCCTTCAAATACACAAGACTCAAAGTTACGACGTTGGTCGCTGTGTATCTCGTCCATTGCCGAACCCACACAACAATTCTTTCACCAGTTGATGGGCTATAGTTACTGCTTCTTGGTCCAGGATCCCGAACATCTCTGTCCATGAGGTGAAGTAGTCGGCTACCATCATGATATAACGATTTCCATGATCAGGCTCTTGAGGGGGCCCTAGTATATACTTATCATGGGCAATGCGCCCATTCTCTCCTCAACCCTGTATTGTTAGAGTCTCGCTCTCTCTTGCTTTTATGGAGGCATCTTAGAGGCACACTGGTCGCACTGCTTACAGTATTTTCTTACGTCCACCTTTCATTCTCACTGGCTCTTCGTGGAAACGGTGTTGGCTCAGGTCTAAACGTCTTTTCCGCTGTTTCCTTAAAGGTACCGTCCACCATTTATAATAGTAATTGTCGGTGTATGTTGTTTTGAGATGACAAAATTATTCAAAATCTAAAGAAGGGTGCCTAAGGACATTCCGTTACGTGATGAAGTTTCAGCCCAGTATGTTTCAAGAAAAGCTGTATTTCAGGATTTCCGTTGCAGATCAAAAGTTGCTGAGTCATATTTTGAAACTGACGCCTGAATTCAGAGTCGGAGTACGATCTCACATTCATTCAGTTGTTGTTGGGTGCTTTACCCCCTCCGGACGGCATAAAAAATTGTGTCAATTGAAGCACCATTTCCCCATAGTTTATTGGTTATATATTGATGAACATAATGTCAACAACTGTTCACCGTTTGCAGCGCAGTTATTTTTCTTAGCAGGACTTGAGGTTATGTGTGGTGGGCATACTAAACACGAAGAAAAATATTCAAGCACTTGTCCTACTATTTTGATGCTGGATGACGAAGCGCAGGAATTTGGTCTTGGGAGGATGTCATTTGCCCACAGAGGGTGAGATTGTGTTGGGGTCAAGACGGACAAAGCCTGTGGATACAATGGTGAAAAGGGGAAAAGACATCGGGACTAACCATATTTTTGCCTTTTAATTCTGAGTGAAGGGGTCTGCGAAATGATGTTCAAGTGTCTCCGTCTTTAGGGTATATAGAACAGTCTAGAATTTTCTTGAAGCGTGTAATTACCCGGGTTAGAAGAGTCATAAGGCTTGTATATACTTCCATTGCTAAAGTTCTATCTTTGGCTTTATACCTAAGCCAATTGTGACATTAGATCCTTTTAAAGTTTTTATAGGCATGTTACAGACATGTTAGTGAACCATAAATCCAACAATCTCAACTTGAGGTTTCACATATTTGGGCACTTAATCCCTGCTGAAATTCTTTAACAAATTTAATCAGTTGTGTCCACTGTTGCTTCCAAGTCAATAACCTTTGATTTTGTTTACAACCATACCGACTTTGTGTTGTCATCAAGCAAAATGATAATTTCATTTTAACAGGCTGTTTGAGTAGGAAAAGATATTTCCTTTCTGGATTAACTCTATTGCTGCTATAAACTCTATTTTTAGGTTTCCAAATAGTGCTATTCATGCAACAGATATCAGGAAAGGCACTACTGAATAGAGTGTATACTTTAGAAAAAGAGTGTCCACTTTCTGCAGTTCAGGGGTTATATCGCCCTGAATTATTTTCTGACTGTTCGAGGTTAATTTATCTTTGAATGGTTAGGCCAGCACCACCCAATCTTGAGCCAACATGTATGGCCTATCTTTAGGCCCTATTATCACGACACAAACACAAGTCGAGAAACCTACATGGTCGAGAAAATCCTCAAACCTTGTTGCCTAGGTCCCCTTTGATATTGTGGAGGACAAAGTCCTGATACCCGGCTTTTAGTTCTCAAAGGCATTTGTTTTCATTTGCCCACAGTACCCTGTCTGCCACGAATCACTGTTGCCTGTGTCTATTTCGGCAAAGGGAGCGAATACTTGACTGCCGCAGGTTCCACACCGCCAGCAGCGCGCCAGTCCATGTCTTCCTCGGTCGATCTTTGCCAAAACTCATCCTGGGAGCGGGAGTGACTCGAATCGAACCACACCGACATGCTGTGCTGCGCCCAGGCTGCCTCGTGCTGGTTCCCCGCTTGGGTGCTCATTTCCAGGCAACGTTGTAGCTCAATTCTGGCTGCCCGCCGACTGCCATTCAGTTGGCGCATGTAGGCCTTGAGGTGATGCAGACGGGGCAGTAGTCCAGGGTATCGAGTGATATCAGACTTCAGAGCCTTCATAGTCTGTTAATTGCAATTATAGTAAATGGACTGGTTATCATAATAATGTCCAACAGTAGTGATGACACGGCAAACTACAAGCAGAAAAGTTGCAGCAATATTACCATCATTGAGAGCGGGGGTGAGGCGTTGCACTCCCACTAACATCATTGATGTTACCTCTCAGCATGACATCAAGGTTTTGCTCATGAATATGAAGAATTCATTAGCTAAAACAGGACAGCAAAATCCCTTGGAAGTTATTAAAACGAGGTTTATCAGACACAAAGGTGCACTTTAAAGGTCTGTATTTTAAAATGGCCTGTGCATATTTTTTCATGACGCACGACAATAACCTCTGTAAAAGGTCACACAATCATTTTTACTGTTTTTATTAGAGTAACCACTTTTCCAGTGCTGGTTTGTCTATAAACCTAAAGAGCAGTTATTCGACAAGTAGGCCTACGATCGGTGCCATGGTTGATGGTGAAATTCATGAAAGCTTCTCACCCTTTTCAATTTGCTCTTAACCTTAGCCGTATCTCTGCCAGCCTTGATTGTATGACAGTAACTCAGTAGGCGGCATTCTAGGATCTTGAAACCTGTCCTGACTGCCATGAAGGTGGGCAGACGATGAGAGGGCAGACTTTCCTCACTCCTAGCCAACCACTGCTGAGCAAGATCCACGCAGTCCTTCCGCATGTACCTAGGATGGCATACGATGCTAACACTGACACTTCTTACCCTTATAATTGTGTTTAAGGTCCTAAAATGTTGCCCCTGTTCATCAGGCCAATAACATTGCTAAAACCACCTCAGCTCTCCGGGGAGTTTATAGCTCAACGCTGCCATCTCTGGTGATAACGGCTAGTCAAACACATTAATCATGGTTGCCCGCCCTCACATGCACCAGAACTAGCTTTCTTAAATTCTGTACTCCCCTAAACCTGCCCTAGGAATGCTACCGTGTAGTCACTATTGAATTCATTTTAGGAAAAATTCAACCCCACGTTTAAACAAAATGAGACAATTCATGGTTACTGACAATCACAGCTTTGAAGCACGCCCTGTCTCTATCAGGTTCAAATTTAATCAAATCATCCGATAACTCCCTTGACGGTTATTAACCTAAACATTTCCTCTTATGGTCACTGCCTTGGGAAAAAACGAAGCCATTGTAGAGCATTATATGGATTTTAAGTAAATTTGTTGAAGAAAATACATTGTAATTCAGAGGCCGCTTTGAAGCTTCAAAGGCTAAGAACGTACCTACCATAATGACAGTGAGGCCATTAGATAACATCTTGACGTGGTATCAGAGGCATAAGCTGGATCGTGTGATACCTGGCTACAGAAGGTAACACATGCCTCGTGGGTCTCCAGTGCAAATCCTAACCGAGTAAAGCACATTAAATGGGAACGAAGTTCATGCAAGGTCTACAAACTGAGCTAGTCTGGGGCCAAGTTGTCTCATACATTTTGATATCACTGTTTAAGTTGGGTTGCCACTACGTAAATTTTGACAGTTTTGGGTGCGGCAAGCACAAAATGACATTTATTGCATATCAAAAGTAATCAGGCATTTGGAGAAAGCGAAGAGGAGAGCTTTTACTTTAATTATAATCTTATTGTTTTAATTTTGAATAAAATTCTTTTTATAATAATTCAGTTAAAATGTCTATTTTGGTGATTTTTTATTGAGATAAAGTACCTGCTTCTAGGATGAGGTCTAGGCAACCGCAGTAATACGCTCCACGGGCCTTAAAGTCCTCTTCCTCGCTAGCTGCGTAAGAGAGCTTACCCAACATCTCCACACAAGATGCCAGCCTATATTGCAGACGTGAAAATATTGGTGAAACCGTCGAATTGCTTTCAGACGACTTCGGCAGCAAGAGATTGACGAGGGTGGTTTTTGGTTTAGAGCTATTTGGATGGGTGACTGCATGAGTAGTTTCAATAATATCTACAAATGACACTTTAATTATTCAATATTAACGTACGAGGCACTTAAAGACCATATCCCAAATTAAGATTCAGTCGTACAAGCAAGTTAAATGCTAACGTGTGGTCATCAGTGGCGAATCCAGCTTTTGGTGGGGGGGGGGGAATTCAAAAGCAAATGCACTTTCAGGCTCATTCAACATAATAATGAAGTTCAAAAAATATAGCCTGCTTATTTGGTAAATAGATATACCAATTACTTTCTTTCTTATTGACCTATGAAGTAATCTCAGTTAAAAAACACATTTTAAAAAATAAAAAATGAAAAGATTTGTCGGGGGGCACGGTGCCCCCCCCCCCCCGCTGGATACGCCACTGGTGGTCATGTCCTTTTATGGGCATTTATGGGCACCGTACCAATGAAGTGACCTTTTATGACAACACAAAAGTTTTTGGACATTTTCGTGGCTTACATCTTGTGGATGCACGGCAACGTAAATAAATTCAGGCTGTATTGTACCGATAGAGAAAGCTTTTGTTAAGACCTAAAGCAAAACAACAAGCCATAAGACAAAAATGCACCCAGTCTTTCGTCATTCAACACGGCACTAAAAACATATTATTTTCGTTAAGTTTTTAAGTAAATTCTTCAAGTGATTTAGATTTTAATCTATGTATAGTTTGCTTATGAATGAATGTGTATATTTAAGTACTCGTATTGGTGTTTTAAAGGGCTCTATTGTATCTTTAGATTTGGTTTTTATCCTCTATAGCGCATTGAGCTCGCCTTGTGATGTAATGTGCTTCATGAGAATAAATTATTATCATTACTGTAACACTCTCACCTGCCAGCAAGAAGCAGCGCGTTTGCCAAGAGAGGCAGCGTTTTAATCTGAAGATTGATGTCGTGAATCTTTTCCGATATCTTGAGTGCACTGTAACCTGTCATGGAGAAATCAAAAATAGTTTTGGCACAGAAGAGATATTAACAAACTGTTCAGAGACTGGGTGTGACGTAGTCATGTTAAAGCGGATTACCGGGCGATGAACCGAACTGTGTTTAGAAATAAAGTTCACAATTTTAAAAAATATTATTCCTAAATATCATTGGTAGTTTCAGCACACTGATTGGTCCAGATCCCGTCACGTGGTAATTTAAAGCACCGACAACACTGTGGAAAGTGTTTAACACGTACCAGTCAGCAGGGTGGACCCTTAAATCCGCAAACATAAATCCCGAACTCAGACAAAATGTCAGATCCTCCAAAAAAGACGAATCGCTTTTCTTGGAGTGCATGGGCGAAGTAAGAAATTTACAAACATGTTTCACTTTGTTTCTTGATATAGTGTTATCTAAATTCGTCTTGAAACGCATCAAGGAGCAATTATGTCTTTATTGTTTGGATCAGATCAGCAAAATATCTGCTGCTAGCATGACTAACTCTGACCAAACTGAAGAAAAAAGGCGTACCTCTCAGTGAAATTGTTGTCACAGTGTTAAAGCGTGCAGCCTTGAAATTGGCGACTTTATATGCTTTGTAATACTGCTGTGTGTGTGTGTGTCTGTAAGTCGACTTTTGATGAGAAGGTGTGTCTGAACATGACAATGAGCGTGCATGGAAACATATATTTTTTTAATTTAACATGGAGGAAATCAAATCGAAACTGGGCCAATCATATTTCCAGGATGTTGAGTTGGACATTCTCCCTGAATTTTGCACTTTTGCTTCTTTGTATTAAATCACTGAATGTCACAAATCTCAAGTTGCCTAGTATGCACTTACGGAATAGTTTGTCGACTGGGTGTGATCCATATTGGCGTTCATTCTATCTGCATTTTTATTTTCAACTAGAGTCAAATCGTCATTGCGTGACAATCAAATGAAACGACTTTTTTCACAGCATGCTGTTAAAGGGTCCATGAAGACATCCGTGGACAAACTGTTGATTAATTGTTCTAAATGTTCACTGCTATGCCAATGAAACGATAGGGGATGTAAAAATGGAACACAATTCCCTTTGCTGTTGTTCATTTTACTGACCCCTCAAATGAATACTTAATCCTGACAAATGATGGCGTTATGAGTGACGTACATGTGATAACCTAAATGATAGTCAAGCACCCTTTCGGTTCGTATAGACCCGAGGGGAACATCGACATTAGACACTTACGTGCCCGCGTAAACTGTTCAAACGTAAAATGTACAATTCCATGTATACGATGCCCACGCTCTCGGTAAAAGCATGTGCATATGCGGTAGAGCCAACGTATGAGAAATTGCATAAGGTATTGAAACGCATCTTTGTTGTTCGCGTTTCATGAAGTTCCTCGTCGTCTTTTACAGGTTTCTTTTTTTATTTATTTTTTAATTTTTTTTTATTTCTCATAGATCGGAAAACGAGTTTTACGTGTTCGGAAAAAACACTTTGACTCGAAATGCGCACTGCGCAGTTTAGAGCTCTCTGTCGGTCCTAACCATTTGCCCGGGTCAGTCTAACTAAATTTCGCTTTTGTTGGAAGGTTCTTCAGGCTTTTACAATCTTTAACAGCAGGAAGCGGCAACAAATCTGATCGGAATGATCTGTTAACCACCAAAAATTGGACTGAATTTTCCAAACTTGACCTGAGATATGCATGCATTGACGCGCTAGAGCACACTATAGCGGCGCGCGGCGATGTCTTCTCAAATGTATACATCACAGATGTGCAAATCTTCTATGTTAATGAGATACCTTTAATCAAATACCTTTTACATTCTGGATATCGTTTAAAACCTACAATTTCCTTTTTTAACAATTAAAAACCCCTTTTCAGGGAACCTTTAAATGTTTATACAACAATGAAGTATTGGGTTGGAGATACAATTTCCATCCAGGTGTTTGTTGCCTCTCAGAGGATATACAAATTCATTATTATGAACTGAAAGGAGCTGATCTAAATAAAAGTCAACTGGATTTGATGTTGAATCTAGCTGCTCCCACAACAGTTATTACTGCCCAACAGCGCATGAGAAAATACCGTGGGTACTAATGATACGACAATTTACGCAGTTAACCATGCAAATGGTTAACTGCGTAAATTGTATGTGTAATGTATATGTATGTGTCTGATACCAAAAGAAATGAAGGAAAGTTTGAAAGATGGCCAAATCGAATTTTTTTCCAATCTATAATGAAAAGCGATGAACTGGAAAGTTTTGCCAAGAGAAATGGGGCCTACCTGTATCAATTGCACCCTGTACATAGCCATTACTAAGCCGAATTCCCGTACTGACAGCGTATAGGTGACCTATGGTAATGAGGTCATCTGGGCCGACTCCAATTGGTGACTCGATGCATCTGACCAAACAAAGTCAACCGAAAAAATAAGTGTTGTGATTGGACTGAGTTAAGTTCTGAAGGGGCACTACAGTCATTTCAAATATGGACAAGTGCGGCGCAGCACGGTAATAGTTTCCTTATTTTCCTGGGGAGTCTCCTTCGGAAACGTATATTTATTTCGTAATGCTGGAGAGTTGGAAAATCTCTTTCAATGGACATTCAACACCACAGTTTTGTCTGCCTATAGCAGTTTCGTATTCCGTCTCTTACATTTCGTAGCGAACAGCAAGTCTTACCTCCGCATTGCAATCTGCTCGTAACGGCGGCCCATTTCTGTCCACTGCTGCATCTGACAGCATAGAATCATGTTGCTGTATGCGCTGATGAGCTTTGAAAAAGTAAGAAGGGAAATTCAACCTGAGTTTTCAAGGATAGCTTTGATGCAGACAACTGTATGAGTTTCATATTTTGCCGCTCTCAGCAAGAGCTACGATCAGTGAATCATAGCGATTCATAAAGATTTTCGTGAGACCGAGGACATTTATATCACACCTCTCGCTGGTGCTTAATCCTGGTTGGTTAAAAAAAGGTCAGGTGGCGCTCACTGATATAGGCTGGTTCATGAAATATGCGCACGCGTTATTGCCTCAGTATACTTGAGTATATGAGTAAAACGTGGTGAGTTAAGTATAAATGAGTATTATATTCTCATTTTAACTCCCTCTTGATGTTGCTAATGCTCATCATGAAACCGAAAACTGAAAGTTTCTTATCTATTAAACTTTTATGTTAGACAGAGGTTTGTAATGGAAAATGAAAATACCGGCATAATTCGGCCAATAGTTCATGTATATGGCCCTTGGGTACTGTTAGTGACCAGAATAAGACCCTTTCCCTTGGCCTTTGACTAAGACTGTTGCTTTAAAGAAAAGCAAGAAATTTACGTTCTGGGATTGTGGTATAGCTACCGTATGATTTGATACGACTAGACTTGACCAACAAATCCTGTTGCACCCATATGCCATCCTGATTAATACCCTTGTAATTATTACCTCGTCGAGGTCATCATCAGCATTTTCGGCGAGATTGACTTGTTGGAGGGCCGCTAGGAGACACCGTAGAGCGTCCTGCTGCCGATCGTATGAGTGCCACATGTGTGACAGGCAGCGGGCCTGCTCCAAATATTTCTCACGTTTGCTATCAGTAAATGAAACTTTAACTTTTCACAACACAATAAATTTTTAAAATTTAAATTAGATTTCTCACACCGTAAACGACTGCACTGCAAAATTCCATAGGGACGCTTTATGTTGGCACAATGGTTCTAATAGTGAAAATAGTTCTGAGCGGTACCGATAAGTTTACAAGGTCTTTTATAACACAAAGTTTCGAGTCAAAACTTTGCGTCAAAACATCACAAAGTAATTAAAAAGGTTTCACAGTTTAGTTTCAGACTTACGACGGATTTCCGAAGGTGCGTTCCGGAAACCAAATGTGGAAGAGCTGGCGAAATCCTGCACTGAATAATTTCAGATGCGCGCCAAATTTGGAAGATGGCTGTCGGTTGCCAAGGAGCCTTAGTGATTTGTGGAAGTGGGGCATAGACTCGTCCAGTCGATTCATTTTGAATAAAGCCTGTTTAGCAATGATAAACAGATCAAGGATCTGATGGGATGAGTAAACAACAGACAACATACTGCCCAGTGTTGGGTTGAGTTTTACTAGATGTCAAAATCTGTCAAGCAATTAGGCAATAGATTCGTTTGACAGAACTGTCAATTCTAATAGCAGAATTTTTAAGGGGTTTTTAGAGTGAAAGGAGTGCGTTCAATTAAAGATGCGGGTGCACAATATCGAATAAGCCCGATTTTCCAAATAATTATTATTCATTCACATTTCTTTCACACTCTGCATAGATACAATTACAGACATTAGGAGCGAAATATATATTAAACAAATTCTACTTCAAATAGCGAAAGGAAGTGATGTTAAAAGTAGCTGCAGTGTGAATACATCCAAAAGCCAAAGACTGAGTCGAAAATGCCTTTAATGAAAAACATAATAATGACAAAGCAATATTGATTTAGGATGAAATAAGAAATTAAGGACTACAAAGGCGATAAACGTAAAATGATGCCAGACAGAATACAGTCTGACCTGACCCATCGTGCTTTCGATTTTAGCGCGCTCATGTTTGTCGATAGTGACAACCTGCGTCGGATCATCTGTCAATGGGTTGTGGCCTCTGTCGATGTCTTTGATGATGTCAATAGCCTCTTGCAAGTAAGACATAGCCTGTTAATGATTTTAAAAAGAAGACCTTGAATGCTACAAGATCGTAGGAGAAAAAAAAAACAGTTCCACCTTCGTTGTATCTACCACTCTGATCTTTAATGAGCATTCTTGAATTTCTGTCTGTTAATGTAAGCCTACCACAGTGTTGACTGGTTAACCCATTTCTATCCAGTGGAAGAACCGCCACAATCATGTGATAATAAATAAGGTAAATAATAATCTTAAGCCCACAAGTAAGGACTGATGAGACGAGGTGGCCGAGTGGTTAAGGCGATGGACTGCTAATCCATTGTGCTCTGCACGCGTGGGTTCGAATCCCATCCTCGTCGAAATATCAGTCTTTTTAGGGCGCGGTTTGTGTATATTTTCGTTTTGTTGACGGTAAGGAAGAATTGTGCATGGACTTGAATTATTGACTCAACACGATGATGTAAGTTAGGGACAATTTTTCTTATTCAATGTTATGAAATCAAATGAAAAACCAAAGGACAAGGCATAAAGACGAGGTGGCCAAGTGGTTAAGGCGATGGACTGCTAATCCATTGTTCTCTACACGCGTGGGTTCGAATCCCATCTTTGTTGCATTATCAATTTTTGAGGGTGTGGTTTGTATGCATCATAGTTTCTTCGTGTGTGGACGAAGACTTAACATGACGATGTCGGCCAGGAAATGATTTTTCTCATAACTCTCTGTTTTAAAAGTGGCAAATTCAGAAGTAATATTTTAAAGCTACATTAAGACGAGGTGGACTGCTCATCCATTGTGCTCTGTAGGGGGGGTTCGAAACCCATCCTCAGTTTTTGTTTGGAATATCTTTGAGCTCCCTAAAATATTGGGAGGATTGTCTCATTTTAAAATTATAATACAAATAATTTACACAGTGTCGCTGTCTTTTTAACAGCAAAGTTTGTTTACTTCCCTAGCTTTTCAATAAACTGCACGGAAGAAAATTACCGTACCAAGTTTGAAAGAAAGGTTCCAGTGATGTCAAGCACGAATGGAAATAAATTTCATTTATCGATTATTACATAAATTATTTAGGGTTGATTTTGGTATTATGACCTTAACCGGGGGAGCTTTCTTGTTAAGATACAATTTTCAGTCAACTGTCATTCTACGTTTCGCACCTGCATGTTGTTTCCTGTAGCCACAGCCGCACTGCCGGCTTCCGATAGGAAATGAACAGTCTTGACTGTGTAGCATGCAGCGCGCCAATGTCGCACGAGCTGCGGATAGATGGAGTTGAGGACATCGGTGCATCGACACTCACGCAGATCCATCCGCTCAAAGTCTAACGTGCTACGGCTACCCGAGCGGCTACTGGCTGGCGAGTCGGAGATCTCACCAAAACTGACATTTGGTTGGAGAAAAGGTCTGATTTAGTTAAGCTCTGTTGCTAAGGTTTCTCTTAATAGGTCATTTGCGTTTGAGGATAAAATACTTCAAGCCACGAGAGGAACGGTCGTTTTCTGTGATTAATTGTTGTTTGTAATACAAATTTATTACTGTCAGGTCATTTTCCATAAGGAATCCGTTACACCATGGATACTATGCGAAGCTCATGCGGAAAAAAAATCTGATACGGCATTGTTATGGAGGATTTGGTGCTGGTCCACGTAACGATGTTCTTCGGCTCGAACACAGATACCGGGACGATACTTCGGTGTTATTGTCATCTGTACTCCCTGCCTTTCCGAAGACATCAGGGTTGCGTAGGCCTACACATTCAACTGCAAATCTACATTGTATGCAGAAGGCCCTCGGCTTCTAAACCACTTCTAATGCAACAAGCGTCAATGCTAGCTCATCGAGGCTGACTCACCTGATCACACTGATGCTGCAGTCTAACGAGCCCTTACGCAGTACCAACGTACCCCTTCGAGCAGGTAAGCCCTTCGCCGTGGCTGAAGGTGGCTTCTCCTCATCGTCGCTGTCTTCTTCTTCGTGGAGGAGGAGGTGTGACCCACGTGGCTCGTCCGTATTTGGTGAAACTGAGGCCATCTTTCGACGTTTCAGACTCTTCTTCAGGGAACCCATCATATTCTCAGTCTGATCCTGGACAAAAGTCTCTTGCTCTATAAATTGATATATACAATAATTTACTTTAAATTATTCTACATAAACAAGGTCTCAAGGACATTAATTAGCGTTAAGACAAAAATCTTGCACACTTTTGCAGATTGCAGATTAATCACATCGATTAAAAATCTTAATATTCATACTGACGCTAAAAATGAAAGCGATCCTAGAACTAAATACCGGCTTTAAAGCTTTAAACACGTTCTCAAGTGTTGCCAGAGCGTGCATTTTCAAATTTGTCAATGTGCGTACATGTATATACTTTTGATCGGAACAAAATGCCACTTTAGACAAATAATCAAGCAAGCAAATTGGTTTTCAGTCATTGCAAGAAACAAAGAAAACGAAGTCTTTTATTCTATGACATTTTTTTTTCGGAGATGAACCAATCGTTCGAGTCCGAGCCTCTACGGCGTCCGTTTTTGAGGAGGTGAATTAAAGCGTATCCGTGTTTAAGGCAATGAGTACATAGGGATTAGCGCGTACGCTACATGTATTTAGGCGTACGTGAAAGAAATAAAATATGCACGGATGTAAATATTCTATCTATTTCAGATCTAGGGAAGGAAATCTCTTCAGTTCCATGTTGTGGCTCATTAACTACCAACTCTTTGTTTCGAGGAATATTTACTATGTAATTAGACTTAATTTGTCCAAAGAAGAGCAGGTGAAAATCCAATTCTATTGTGGTTGAAAATTTCTTCTGTCTTGATTTTCTATCCAGATGTAGATATCGTCACCAAAAATGCTTTTAAGGCACTAAACTGTCATAGTCTGAGAACTGACAGGGTTTTCACCTGCTATCAATTTGTCGAAGCTCACATGTCGAGAGTAACGACCTGCCAAAAAGAAGTTACAAACATGTTAAATAATGGCATTGGAAATGTTCTATTATCAGCTATACTGGATATGAGGGGAGCGCCATTATTCGCCTTTGTTGGTGTTAGTAGGTTCATTTCCTTTTCTTGTTGGGGAAACTACATTTCTGAGTCATGGCTCCACTGTTTGTGTCCAAGCAAGGACACTTCACCGAGGTATCCCATCAGCAGTATGAATTCAGAAGAATAAAGGGCCTACACCCATTGCATTCCTCCTTTGAATCCGTGGAGTTGAACTTAAGGTATACATAAAGAATACACAGCCTGTTCAAGTGTGAGCCCATTGCTCCCGGCCTGAGGGTAGTGCCAACTTCAGACTTTGGAACCAAAATGACTGGTCAATTGTCCATGTGCACTGATGCATAATCCACCCATTTCGGTTCCAATAACTGAGACACTCATGTCGGAATTCCTGTATAAGTGGCTCAGTGCTCGGATAGACAAGTACCCCCTCATTGTGCAAAGAAAAGACAGACTGGTGGGGAGTTTTTCAAGCTTGCCGCTTTCCTATGGTGCGTCTACAAGGCTACCTATACACAGACTGCACAAAACATTCCCAATCTGATAGCTGCACAGTACTAGAAAACTTACATTGCAACTGACATTCAAAATGGTCAAGTGGTCTGAAGTTGATCTGATTACTAGCATTTTGGCTAACCTTCTTCAGTTTTATTACTTAAATCTGTGTTTGTACGGAGCTCTTGTGCCTGATCGCCATTGGTCATCTTCGTCGTTACCCTCTTGAGGGTTGTTTCACCAGTTAGTTGATGGCCTCCTGGGAGGAAGTCGCCACCGCCGCACGCCACACATTTATGTGCCTGGGACTCTAGGAATTCAGCGGCTTGGCGGTGGAGTTTGCGTCGCTGCTCAGCAAGGAACAACCCGTAGGCCGTCTCCTGCATGAAGGCGCTGGTGAAGCGCAGATTGGTGCAGTCGGTCACAAACATATGGGAGGAAGCGGCCGACACCTCCACGGAGCTCAACTCCGCTTCCTGGCGCTCCGTCTTTGGGCAGTGGCAGATGACTCCGGACGAGAGCCGGTTGCCGCGACCAAGCGCCCCAAAGTAACTGGAGAGAGAGCTGGCAACGCCCTGGCTGGGCCGCTGGGCGGAGCTGTGGAGTGACATGTAGTAGGTGGCGCACTCGAACACCCCGGCCTTCATCAAAGCGTGTAGGAGACGACGGATCTTCCACGGCGTGGTGTTTGGTGTAATCATCTCTAACATGCGGCGACTAAACGTCAAGCCGAGTACAGCAGCACACTTGACCAGCATCTGTTCAGAAGGCTTCATGTGATCAATACGAGCCAACATCATTCCTGGTAGAAACCAAAAGGGCAAGATGGACTAATTCAGACATTACTAAGATTGCACACAGTTTGGGGGGATTAGTTTATAATCATGGAACATATTTTTGGGCTTTTCATCTAAATCAGTGCTGACATCAAATATCTATTTTGTGTGTGTGATTTTCATTGATACTTTCTGAAGAATAAATGAAAATTTTACCCTTATTAAATTATTAAATCACGTCATGTTTCGGCATTTGTTTTAGAATTAATGATATCACTGATCTGTTTATCTTGTGAAGTGGATGTGTTTCGAAGTCTGTTTGTTTCGACTGCGACTGTGAGACTTTGGATGCCGAGGTACACACAACGTGAAATATTACTTCCGTGTGAGAAAGGGGGTCTGATCGTTATTGCGCACGGGTCAGTGAAGTTAAGACTGGAAACCAAACAGTTCCAAAGGAGGTAAAGAGTCCACTTAACGGTCAGAATATCACACAAGTTCAAATCTCATGTGACATTGACATGAAAGGCAATCAAACCACCTGTCATGGAGTCTGGTATCTGTAGGTCAGTCAAGTTGACTCCTGCAGCCAGCACGCACACCATCTTAGGCTCATCATCATCCTCTTCTGCAGCAAGTCCTTCCTCTTGCAGCTCCTGTAGTCTCTCCAGCAGAGTCGGAGGTATCGGTTGCTGGAACATCGGTGCAGTCTGCGTAAGATTTTTTAACATGTATCAGCCTGGTAATTTGTTCCACTGAGCAACCCTTTTTTGTGTGTATTGTTATTACGATTTTCAGAAAAGATGTTTCCTGTCATCAGTCGCACCGCACTCATCTTGCAAGCTGCATAAGTAGCGTTGGGGGGGGCTGGCCTCCTTATGCTTGTCGCCATTTTTAAGTGCCACTAGTTTAGAAACGGTACTATGAGAGGGGTGTTAAGACGTCATTTACTAACGAAAAACATTGGACGGTCGTTTCAGAAAAAGTCCAATTTCACTCCTCCGTACACAAGAATTGGTTACCGTACGCCACTTACCCTTTGTCCGTCATCACGTACAGCAAGGCATGCATCAAAAGGGTATGGAGCAGTTAAAGAAGCTAGTGATTCAAAAGTTGTTAAAATGGACAACAGATTACGGAGTGAAGTGCATGCAATGATGCTTTAAATCTTACATAAATTAATTGCGATGGACTGATGAGGCTTTAGCCATGCACCTGTATAACGTCATGGAGGCGCCTTTCCATACGCGCGTCAACACTTGCATCAAGCGTTGGATATCAGTCAAAATCGCGCTTGGAGCGATTTTGACGTATAAACCGGGCAGAGTATTCTGTTCAAAACACCAGTGAAATCCTGTCGTTTTAACAGTGAAATCCTATCATTCACACATAAATCTTGTCTGCATTACAGATATAGCGTCACAGGATGCCACCTTACCCCGCTATCTACACTGCTCCGCCTGCTACGACCAGGTACACCACCGCTGGCGCTGCTGTCACGTCGCTTCTGAAGCACGGTCAGGCTCGGCGTAATGTTGGCGGTCTGATCCTCATCCGCGGCAGCTCGGTTACTACCCTCCGGCACGATCAGGAGTTGATTGGCTGCCGTCAGTTCCTGGAGTAGCTGCTCACACCAAGAAGCTATGCCGTGGCTCTTCTTCTGAAGTATGCTGAGAGGTAAAAATATTCTTATTTCAAGAAGATTGAAACTTTTCTTTGGTTGTGTGCTTGTTCGAGAATCAACTTCTTTGTTTTGAAAAAGGCAAAAGGGATACGCGCAATGAGCACATTTTCTAAGCCAACTGGCGCACATGCGTGACGTCTGAATTCAATTTAAGACATCCAGCATTATACAAGCACAGTCTGTTATCATTTCCATCAAATTTAAGTGTTTTTTTTCATATTTTGTGAAATAAGTGTATCTTTTACCCAGGGCAAGTTCAATCTATCAGTTGCAGAAACAGCCCAAACAATTATCCATGTTTTTTTTTTAAATATCGTGGAATTGACACATCGGTTTAGACTTTATTCTGAGAGTTTGAAATTTGGTGCTAAGTATTATTACAGTCTTTCACTCAATAAGCACAAATGTGGAAGTTCATCTTGAGCCTGAGTGAAGATTGAAATGACTCCAATCACGTTACTCAAGCGGACTCGAGTCAAGATGTTTGTCGACTCTGAACTCAAGGCACTACAAGTTAATGACTCAACTCGAGTCACACGAGGTACTGACTGACCGAACAAGGTCTTCGGGTACGCGGACGACATCCAGCAGCTGACAGGCCAAGGAAGCCATCTCGGTAGAGCGTAGTCCACCTAATTTGATGTGCAGCGTGTTGGGGTGAACTAGCACGCGATGGGCCGCAACGCAAGGCGGCTTGTCCGGCTTGAAGGGCCGCATAGTCAGCACGCAAACTGCCGAGGAATCCTCGGCAAAGTCCGTCAAGAAATCCCAGGAGTCTGGGTCTATGAAATGTGCATCGTCGACAGCAAATATGACACACTGGTCCAAGGTGAACTGGAGGTTTAATAGAAAAGTATGAATGATCTGTGAACACTACGCACAAGTTTCCATGTGACAACAACATTTTGCTAATGTTGGTAATTTGCTCAGGATGTTTCAGTGAAACTTGCCGAATATTTTAATGCTTCGGGAGAACCAAGTCAAAATACATACGGTACTTTGAATTTTTCTTTTCTGATTTACGCATGCTATGGTCGCACTTTCATGATTGAAGCAAATATACTACGAAATAGGCTTAAAGCAATCGTTTTCCAAGTTGATTCAAAGCTTCCCCACCTGATGTACTATCTTGCCGAGCAGGCTATGCAACTCCCCAATACGCTGTTCATTCTGCATAATCTGAAACCTGGGATTTACTGGAAGCTAAGGAGAAACGGAAGACGAAAGTGCGTGAAAATGTGTTGTTACCATATCTGACTTTGGTGATCATTGCGTTAAAATTGAAATAACCATTTCATATTGTTGAGGCTCGTCAAGGGAGGCATAAACAGACCAGACAAAAGGAAATTTCTTTTGTTTATTTATGAGCGTCTGGCTCCCAAACGTGTTACTATGTATTTCTTTCATGTTTCCTACGTTATGGCGACAGTCTTACTTTGAGAACGAGCAAGTCATTCAAGAGGCAAAGATCTTCCCGCAGAGTCTCGTTCTGAATGTGTTCCAAGAGAGCATGCTCCCTTTCTACATGACTGACGCAGTCTTCCATATTAAGCAACATGGTGACCAGATGCTTGACGGTGTAGTACGGTACAGTCACGTCGTTCATTGTCAGCGCACAAGATATTACTCTACAAAAGAGGAGAGCTCCTTAATGAGTGACTTGATATCATTATCTTTTGTCCAACAATCGCAAGAGGGCATTC